GACATTTATAAATTTGAAAATAGAAAATATTACTAAAAGGATTAAAATATATGTTGTATATTTAAAAAACATAAATTTTAAAAGAATGCAATATCAAAAAAATATTAAAATCAAAGGTAATGATATGTTTTGCATATTATATTGTTGAAATATATTTCTTAGATGATAAAGATCTATCAATTGATGAACTGCAATTTAAAGTGAATAAAATTGCAAATAACAATGATATTGCACTGGCTAAACTTTTTAATCTTTTAAAAGACAATAAAATTGAAAATAATAAATCTTTGTTATTTAATCAAAACCCTGCAATGTATGATATCATATAACTAATTTTTAATATAATATTCTATGTTATACTATTGAAATCTTTTTGAATTAATGTACAATGCTTCTCTAATTATTCTTAATCAATTTTAATTTTATCCGTTGAGATTAACACTAACTTTCTTACATTATTTTAATTTTTTTTTAAAACTAATTATATTTTAATAAAATAAATGAACTAAAATTTCAGATTATCCTTTCTTGTTTGCAATAATATATTTGTCTCTATTAAAAATGGTTAATTTTTTTTTATCACATTCATCTACCCAAAAATAAATTGACCTCGAATAGTCAAGATATAGAGGTTTTCTTGTCAAATATATACCTAATAATTTTATTTTATTTACCAATATTTCACAGAGAAATAAAAGATTCAATTTATACCAACATTACAAACGATAGAATCTTTAATTCTGCTTCTAGCCTAAACCCAAATTCTGAACTACCCAACCCAGTCTTGGATTTGGTCGATGAGTTGAGTCAACAAAATCAGGAATTAAAGGGTTGTGTGTTTCTTTTGTTAAAAGACTTGGAGTCAACTAAAGACGAGAACGCGTTACTCAAGGAAAAATTAAGCAAATTACTACATAACAATCACAATTTCAAGCGTGAGACTATTGGAGGATTTGTTTACCCCAAAGAAATAGATAACTATTCCGGCATGCTCAACCAACACGGAATCGGCAAAACATTTGGAATAAAGATGGACGCTAATTTTAAAGAAGATTCATTAAATGCGAACCATATTTTGTCAAATATCGGAGAAAATAAAGAAGATAAATTATCGAATCTCGACAACGAAATTACGACAAATGCTAGCCACCAAAAAAATTTCCCCGAGGAAATTGATGAAAATGAGCATGACAATTTTTTTTATTCCTCATCTCCTATCATATTAGCTCCCCTGGAAATGCCTAAGTTCGATCTAAGATTTGACCAATCATGAATTATTTGAGACAATAATATTATATAATAAAATACAAATTTACTATCATTGTAATATATTACTTTTTAAATAAACCAAAATAAAAATATTTTTATTATTAAGATTGTAAATTGATTCGCAATAGACGTTGTAAATATGGTAATATAGTAGCTATACAGAATTTTTGTTACTTTATTCATTTTTTTAAAAAAAATATAGTGAATTTTGGGTGTACACTCCAATTACGCTGGACATTTTTTCCCTCTTATAAATTTTTAAAACTACTAAGAAATAAAATTATAGTGTCTTCACCCTTCGTATAATGATATATTTTTAATAAAAGGCTGATTGAAAAGATTTTTTCAAAAGAACCATTAGAATTTCTCTTTCCCCAATAAAATAACGTAGATATAAACTTTTAAATACCATTATGACCTTCTTAGGAAACCAGGTTAAAATTTTTTTTATTTGTTTATGTATGTGTTAATGTGTTAGCGTCAATGTGTTTTTTTCCGGCAATGTGTTATTTTTTCAACTATAAATAATTTTTTGAGTGCGTTTTTTTTTTAAAATGTAAAAATCTGATTTACCGGAAATGTATTTCATCATGTTTGGAATACCTACTCTATAAATTTCAGACAATTTTGCCATGAACTTTAGAACTTAACAAAATTTATATTAAATTTTCCATAAATTTTTTTATAAGTTATAAATGACTCTAGGTATTCCAAACATGATGGAATGCATTTCCGGTAAAATCAGATTTTTAAATTTAAAAAAAACGCGCTCAAAATATAAGTTGAAAAAAATGATACATTGCCTGAAAAAACACATTGACGCTAACATATGCAGTGGTGTTGTTAAATTACCTAACTTTAGTTAACTATAAAACAGCCTAGCAATGTATATATCCAAATATATTCGAATCAATTTTCAAGTTGAGACACAACTTAGAGGCTTAATTAATTTTTTTAGGCTAAAGGCTTGACTAAGCCACAATAGAGACGGTCAAAGTTAGGTAATTTGTACTTTGACCTTCTATTTATTTTTATTTGATCTATTCAAAAATTATTGTTTTTGTTTTTATCTAATAATTTTCTTTTTGGATAAGAAATAAAATGTATAATGGGAATAATAATAAATATTATTTAATAAACACTAAATTCGGCATAATAGGAACATTAAGATGGTGGTGTAGATTCTGCCGTTGTTGCAAGGGTCAGACAAGCTTGGAAGAAGTTCAGAGAAATGTCCTTTATTCTTACAAATAAAAAAGTCTCTCTAGAGAAAAGTTTACGTAAGCTGTGTGAGAGTTGTTTAGTTTATGACGGCGAAACATGGGCAATGATAGCGACTCATGAACCCAAATTATATAGAACAGAGATGAGGATGATTAGATGGATGTGTGGGGTATCTCTGAGAGAGAGAAAAACTAGCAAAGAATTGCGAGCAAGATTGGGTATAGAAATGATTGGAGTGGTAATGCGACGAAATAGACTAAGTTGGTTTGGGCATGTATATGACAAAAGGTGACTGGGTAAAGAGATGCACCTTGATGGAAGTAGGAGGATCAAGACCTAGAGAAAGGCCCAAGGTGACATGGACAAATGTGATAGTGACGGATATGAGAAGCATGAATCTTACAAATATTGATGCTCAGGACCGTCAAAAAGGGGAATAAAATTCACAAGGAAACCTGGCCTACCCGGGTAAACCTGGAAATCGCCATAAGAAGAAGCAAAAGTTCCATAATTTTTATTTGTTTTTGAAATTCTATTTTTTTGTCTGTTTTCCAGGCCTAGAATTTGGTAAATGAACGTAATATAAAATATTTATTATGGCCAGACAAGAAATAAGATAGAAATCATTTAAAATTATATACTAGAAAAGTATTTGCTTATTTAAATAAATATTATTTAAAATTTTTTGCAAGAAACAAGAGGGCAGTATTTTTATTTATTTGTGGAATTATCAAAAATTCGATAATGTTCGGTGTAAAAATGTAAAACTCTATTGAAAAAAGATATTAATGTCTATATTTAAAGAATTTGGAACGGGCCGAGCGGACAATTTTTATTTTGTGTTGGACTTTTAGGGGCAAATTATAAAAATGTTTTGGGATAGGTTAGGGCCATATATATATTTTTTTTAAAAATTCCTGGATCTGAAAAATTAAGCCCGATGCAGATCACTTGCTATTAATAGTATAAAAATAGTATTAAATAATATTTATGATTATTATATTACAATACATTTTATTTTCAAATATTTCTTAACTTTAATTTTGACCCGATAAACAGATAGCACTTAACTTAGCGCTCTGCAACAAAGATAGAAGTCAATGTTTATGTCAGATGAGTGGATATATTATTTTATTAAAGACCAAACCTACCATATTCTATAAAATCTAACAAAAACTAAAAAATAATTTTATTTGAAACTGTGAAAACATAAATTAAAATTGAGACTAATTATTTAAAACTGTATATTTCGATTATCTACAGTCCAATTAAATGATATATCCTTTATTTTCTAGTGAAAAGAGATGTTATTATAAATCATTAAAGCAGAGGTTGGAATCTAGATTAAATAGGAATTCGGCTCTTGTTAAAAATAATTTTTAAACGGCTCTTGTTCCGGTTTAAAATTTTTAAAGTGGTTTCGGTTATTAAATTTAGCAATCTGGTTTCAAACCCAAAAATTAAAGTTACTTAAGGGCCTTTATATTTTGGCTGCATTAAGGTTGTGGGGGACTATAGGAAATATTGATTCAAATCATTATACATAGTTACGGGTATAAGAGTAATGCTCCATAGGTGTAGCCAGGGATGCGAACCCAGAAAAATTTTTGGCCAGGTTCGGTTTAAGGTTAAAAAATATAAGTGGGTTCGGTTCAGGGAAATATTTATGAAACCGGGTTTGATTCTGGGTTCAGCTTGGGTTTAAGAATTTTTGAATTGATAAAAAATATTCTATATTTAAATCATAATTAAAAAAACTAGACATAGATTTGGTATAAGTCATGTATCAATTTTAAAATTTTTATTTAGATGTATTTCTTTAAATTAACAATATCCAATATAATAATTTTTACTTTGACTTGTTCACTTTCATTTTCCTCTAATTTATAGTCTTTGATAATAAGTTAAAAATTAAAACTAAATGAATTTAATTCTTTAAAATATATTAGCATTCCAATAGGAATCTTCGGGAATAAATTTAAAAAAATTTAAAAATGGCGTAAATTAATTAAGTTGTTTAAAATTTATAAGCACTTCACTTATTTGGAAATTTGAAAATCTTATAAAATCTTAATTAAATTATTAATATTTGTATTTACAATTATACAAATATCTTATATGATTTTAACAATCTGAACAATTTTTTCTAAAAATTTTGAATAATAGCCGCTATTTGAAAAAATTAATTACTTTTACGAATTTTTCTTTCAAATTCTTGTTTATAGTTATATATTATATATGTATTTGGGGAAGAAATGGGTGGGAGGAGGAAGCTTAGGAGGAAATTTTAATTAGCTTATATGAAAACAAGCAAATTTATGAAGGGGGTATCTCACCTTGTCCACCCCGGCTACGCCTATGATTAGTCTTTTTATAGAGTTTTTTCATAAATGTTTAAAAAAATAAATATAAAATATTAAACCTTGTGTTATGAAAAATGAATAGTATATCCTCAAGCAATTAATTTTTATATATAAATTTAATTAGAAAAAAAAATATATAAATTAATTTAATTTTTCGTTTTGACTAAAATGGACATCATATACTATGTATTTGTTAATTTAACCTTATGCAATCTATTAATATATTCTTGTGTTGACCCTAATTCGATTTCTAAAAGTAATAATCTATTCATATAAAATAACATTAACTCTAGTAAATTATGCATATTTTAATTCTTCAACGTTGAAATAATGTTTTTAATATAGACGAGTGTCAAAGGGAGCATAAATTTAAATAAGCAGGTTATATTATAGTATGTGATAATGCATTTTCAAATACGATTTCTCTAAAAGTGTAAATATTCCACTGCTATTATAACGGCTTTTCAGAACGTTTAAAACTAGTCTAGAACAGAACGCCTTTAAAAAATTAAAATAATTTGATTGAACAAAATATAATATTCCTTGTGCCAGTCTTATCAGAGACAAGCTCTTTAAAATGTTTTAAAAAAAGAAATAAAACAGGCAGTTCTTTAATTATAGCGGAAGCTCCTATAATCAGAATGCTTTATTTTGAAGTTGTCCTATTGTTAAAACTATTTTTAAAAGGAGAGCGCTATCGCTACCGCCATTTTACAAGAAAGTCCGCTAGCGTTTGGAAAAAAGTAGCGCGCTATCGTTACCGCTAACTTTTCAAAAATGTAGTATCGTTACCTCTAGCGTTTTTAAAAAAGTAGTGCATCAATACCGTTAGCGTTTTTTTAAAAAGTAGCGTACTATCACTATCGCGACCGCTAGCTTTTTTAAAAAAAGTATTTAAAAATTTTTTTTACTTTTTACAAATAAAAAATATGACTAAAATTTCAAATATATATATTTTTTTACTAAATCCCAATAATAATAACATTTCCATATTATTATCTCCAAGTCTAGAGCGAAGATCAGAAAGTAAGCTATTACTAAATAATCGTTCATTAGAACCCAATGCAGTATTAAATCTAATACACATATTTTTTATATAAGAAAAATCAAAAATATTTTTAGATTTAAAAAATCCGTTTAAAGGATTTGTAATAATATTATTATTTATTTTAAAAAAATCAATCATCCATAGTAGTTGGCGTTTTTGATCTGGATAGGGTCAGTCTAAATTATAATAGTAATAGTTATAATAAAAATTATGTAGGGGATAAGTGGGTGGCCATGTTTGCTTATCTATTGAACCAATTTCTCTCGGAATTGGTTAAAATGTGAAAGAATTGAAATAAGTATTTTTTAGCAGGCTTTGATAAAATTTATAGAATTAATAACCTAGATAATAATTTACAAAATATTATCAATAAATAGATGAGTCTGATGATAAAATGAATGTTAATTATTTATTGTAATTTTTAATTTACATAATTTTTGAATAATATCTTATGGCCAGTTGAAACATGCCTTGTTTGGACTGGGACAAAAAATCAATTTTCATATATTCATCTAGCTCAAAAACTATTGTAAATATAGCCATGATTCAAAATATATTTTAAAGATTAAGAATTGGACTACACATTAATAATAAATTTGTTGAAGTTTTGTTTGATGATAAAACCTTCCGGCGCATCTTACCATGATATTTATACCGTGTTAATTTTTTATATCAAGATTAAAATATTTTGCGAATTCAGTAAAAGGAATTCGATATTATCATCCAGGGAAATTACTTTGTCAATATGTTCTAGACCAATATTTTCTGCAATACCCGACAATTTAAATTATTTTGAAAATTTATAATGCAGATTTTAAAATATAAATTTCAATATTAAATATAGAAATAATATAAATATATCTTAACAACTTTTATGTGTATTTATTATATAATTTCTAAATTAGTAGCGAGCTACCGCTATTGCTATTTTTTTTTTAAAGTAGCGAGTTACTTTAACAACAATGTTATCTACCCTATATTATAAATATATGCCAATCAAACTAGTTTTTGAAATGAGACATTTTATGCAGTATAATTAATGATACTTAAAATATTTTTTCTTTAATTCATCTTTATTAGTGAAGGTCAAAGGTTCAATTCTATCCACCTTAGATCGGACTGGACTGATTTTTTCTTGAAGACCATCCGGATCGGTCTTTTATTAATATTTAAATTCGCCCTATTATTCAATTAATCTTATTTTTTTTACCTAATTTTTTTTGTATTTTATTTCATGTTATTTTTCTAGAGTAGTTATTTTAGTTTTATGAATTTTTAGTTTCATTTTTATTTTGCAATATGAAAACCATAAGTTTTTTAAAGAAGAATTTTAATGAGTCCCAATAAACAAGAAATAAATTAGGTAAAAAGAAAAATATTTTTAAATACCAAAAAAAATAGAAATTTCGATCCAAGACCGGTTTTTTTTATTTAGGACCACGATCTGGATCGATCTTTCTAAAAGACCATGGTTCGGTCTGGGTGAAAGATCGGTCCGTGACCTTCACTAATAATTATACCATATATAGCTCTTTTAATCACGTAATATCTTTTTTCAAACAGACAGTGTCCTCTTTTAATGCCAATTAAAAGATAGGAGGACCTTATCTTTAAAAAAAAACACCTTGTCTTTGAAAAAGGACTTACTATATATTTACCCATTTTTCTCCCATAAGTAGAACTGAAATTATCAATATTTCTTAATTTATACTTATAATTTTATTGAAAAATCCAAAATATTATTTTAAAAAAATATCGCCAGCTGAATATTATGGTGTTCCGTATCCACTCTTTTACAAAATACATTCTTCGATAAATCAATCCTTCTGTACTGTATTCTTCCATACACCAATAAAAATGCTAAAATATAATTTCGAATAATCCATTATTGACATTATTAAGGTGTGATCTTAATTAGTTATATAGCGATCAACTCTAAAAGGGAAACCCCAGTATTATACCTCATCTGGCATTAAAGATTATTAATCAATGTTTTAAATAATTGGTTGATATTGTAAAAAAAATATATTAATTTCCTAGGCGCGATTTGTAATTTAATTGATATTTTTCTAAAAGAAATTTCCTAATAAAATATTGGATTTTTAAATTGATAGACCAGTAACTTTCATACTTACTATATAATCATAAATGTTGTGCAGTCTCATGGAATCAAGGGGAAAAGATATATCGCGTAAAATATCCATCGTAGCTATGGGGAAAAAAAATTAAGTAAATAATATAAAGTGCAATCAGAATTCAAATGATTATATTATTTAAACAAAACTAAGGTTTAGCCTTCCTACCACTCCCCCCCCCCATAGCCTTCGGATATTTTTTTTATTCCTTACCCTTATCGTAGCTTTTCCCCTACCCCCATCAAAGATATATAGATTAAATAAAATAATTTAAAAAGGAATACAAGTAGATTGTGGATTGAAATACATGACGGGACTATTCAAAAAAAGGATGCCTACTGAACGTTATAGAATTGTAGGAGGGGAAGAAAGTGTCCCTAATGCTTGGCCTTGGCAAATTGATATAAGGATTCGAAACAACAGGCATATTTGCGGAGGTTCTCTCATAACTGACTCTCATGTAATTACATCAGCCCATTGCATTATTCCGTAAAAACGCATTTTTATATTATTTCTTTTTAACGTGTCATATTTTTTCATCAAAATTTGTAATGGCCCTTATTTTTTAAAAAATGTCGAATTTTTAGTAATTAAGCACTTTTTAGTAAGGGTAGAGAAGGATGATTAGTTAAATTTTAAGTAATCTATATATCTATACATGTTGATTTTCATTAAAAACTATGTTACATCCCTAAGGGACAAAATTTATACAAATATTTTTTTTAAAAATAATTATTTTATTCATCGATACTTTCGTTGGTTCAAAAAAACGATTAAATTTACATTTAGATCCATCACTAGTCACTTTAAAAATTTTTTTACTGTTATTTTTATGAAATAGAGATCAGGGCACGTCAGGACATTTTATTTTTTTTATGAAATGTGAAAGTTTTAAGAGTGAAATTCAATTACAATATAGATGATTACTAAATGAATATGGGGAAAAGATTATATCTCTGTATAATAATCATTTGATACTATAACGTAAGTTTTACCTTATATTTGGATAAAAAAATTAGTATATTTCCGTTTTGATTTTTCAAGAAAAATTCGAACATAATTTTTACAAATGAAGAATTGACCCTCCCCTATCATATTTTTATTTATCATATATTTTTATTTATCATAATTGGGCATATTAGTATTCAATTTTATTAATATGAGTAAGAGTATATTAAAACAGTGCATATTGTATGTCATCCATCGATATTTTCCCGATATCTATTTTTTGCAATATTATGTTCAAATACTCACATGGTGTGTGATATTGTATTAGAAAAAAAGATTGAATCTCACGGAAATTTTGTGTTTTTTATCATTATTTTTTAAATGAAACACGTGATTTTTATTTATTACTTTTATTATTAAAAAAATTTGTGGTTTCGAATAAAAAAAATATGGAAACCTGCGCGATACAAATTTTTAACCCAAACTGATTACATATGATCGGTCTGACCTTATATAAACGTTGAAATAGAGTTTCGGGTTATAACCAGCTCTTGCATAAATTTCCCTTATGATTGTACTATTATATAATTATAAAATATTATATCCAAGGGGTCAAAGATACCGTCTACACGCTGGAGTTCATAATAGATCGATTCTTGGTGAGTATGAACAAATTCGAAACATATCAAATGTAATTATTCACCCTAACTTTGATGAAGGTTGATTATATGTTTTATTAGACTCCTAAAATAGTTTATTTCTAACTGGAAATAATATCAGAGAAAGCAAATTCATAGGTTGGCTAAAATTATATAAATTATAGCATTTAGCATATCAACCAGACATATGTGGATAACAAAAAAAAATGTAAATTAAAAATATTAGTCATTTAAGGTAGATAGTAAATTAATTATTCATAGCAATATTTAAAATTATCCTACAATAAATTTTATATATAATAAAATTGGCAAACCAAGTGAATTTATAATTTTGTTGGAACTGGTTAAAAATAATTTTTATTTTCTAATATATCCGTAAAACCGATAAAAACAGGTGTGCGCCAATAGGAAACCATGTAATTTTTTAACAAGGATTTATAAGAAATAGTAAACTTTTAAAAATGACTAATATTACATATATTGCATACACTCCTTTAATAAAATCATAGGCAATATTCATTATATGTTAATCTCTCATACGTAGCTTATATTTTTGTATATATTATTAGAATTGCAATTCGATTCTGATATTGCCATCTTAAAAACTAAGGAACCCTTCTTGTTGAATCAGTATGTCAATTTGGTCTGTTTACCTTTACTACCGCGATCAACGGTTTTATGGAATAATGATAGCAAAGAATGTTTCGTCACTGGTTGGGGAGAAACTCTAGGTAATGAATGACAATTATTATTAAAAATTATTCGATTCAAAATATGATTAAAAAAATTACAAATTGAATAAAATCTTTTATTCGACTAACTATTGATAATAACATCATAAATAAAATACTAAATTATTCAATTCACATAAACAGCAATTGTTTCAGATATATACTATCAATTTCTGATCCTGTTCAATTAATAGCTAAATAAATAAACATTTTTCTAGGAACTGGGAATGATATAGTACTAAATCAAGTTAGAGTGCCCATTTTAAAAACGGATATTTGTAATTCTTCGGATTATCTGTCGGGATTAATCACAACAAACATGATTTGTGCAGGGTACGATGAAGGAACAAAGGACGCATGCGGAGTAATTATAGTACCGCTTAGTCATACAATTAAGAAACCTTAGAAGGAATTATATAAATATAATAAATTTTAAAATAAATTACATTTTAAAACTTTAACCTTCAAAAATATAAAATAAATGTAAGAAATTTTCATATAATTTTATATGTTATTAAAACTCTTCATATCTCTACCTACATTGTCAAATAAAATAAATTATATTTTTACAGGGCGATAGTGGTAGTCCTTTAGTATGTTCCTTTGACAAAAAAAAATGGTTTTTAGAAGGAATTGTTAGTTGGGGAATCAGTTGTGCTCTGCCAAAAAGACCCGGAGTATATACGAAGGTTGAGAATTTTGTGTCATTTATTACAAGAAATATTATTTGATAAGAAAATTAAATAATCATATTATTATATCGCTATTTTGTAATTTACACTATTTTTTATTTATCGAAAATATAAAATTTATTGACAATGATATCAATCATGTTATATAATTTTTCATTTATAATTTTCTGCGAAAAATGTTTATATATAATGCGTATAGAATATTTCGATTAGATTGTAAAAAAATTTATCACATAAGAAGTATCAACTATTTAATTGTAATTATTTTTATTTACAAACTCATTTTACGTGATTTAAAAAAAAATTAAATCCTTTATATTTTTCGCTCTTTATTATTATTTATATATATATATATATATAAAAAATACAATATACATTCAATGTCATTGCTATTAATCCATGTTTTAAAAATCTTCATTTTATTTTCATTTAAACAATGAGGCATACAAATCTGTGCTATATTTTTACTTTTAAAGAAAAAACTATGAAATAAATTACTGAATATTATCATCAAGATTGATATCTTCTTGAGGACACATATAATTAATTAGTTTGGGTATAGGATCGTATATGTAATAAACAAAAAAATTACAAATATAAAATAATAATTCATATCCTTTTTTAAGATTAAAAGAACGTGTATAACAAACATCATTAGAGAAGGTCATGGTTCGGCAGCTGGACGCCATTTTAATTCTCTATGTAAACAATTTACATTAAAATTTTATCAAAACTTTAAAAAAGAAATCAGTTTCATTTATTTATAGAATTTGTTATAAGGGAAACAAAAGTGTTGTGTAACCAGCTGATTTGTATTCCGTCGCTTCAAAATAATTATTAATGAATGAATCTTCAATCTAGATAACAATTATAAATATTGATTCGTTCTAAGGGGATCGAATTTATAACAATAACAATGGTTAACGGTAGATAGAACCACTCTTGAAACAGCTTTTATCATAGGGCTATATCATGGGATCAGCGGGGCTCTCGCACTTATCACATTTATTTAGGTGCTCAGTCTTCATGGGGAAAAGAATGATTTATTATATTTCTAAAAACCGAAACAATGTGAGAGAAATGCATTATATCCTATAATTACTTTAAAAATATATAATGCATAAATAAAATTTGTATAAAATAAATCACTAGAGACCAGGGTTGCAAGATCAAAAATATTAAATTGCGTGAGAAATTGGTATTATACGGGAGAAATATAAAAATAGCGGTAGAAATATAAAAATTGTTAAAAAAAAATTTTGCGGGAATTTTAAATTGATTTAATTATCCGCCTATTATTTTTTATTTAGTTTATATAAATACAAAGTCGGTAACTATTTTTCAAAATAAAATAACATCTTGATTTATAATATATTAATTTATAAAAAAAAACCAATGATCCTTTTAAATATAAAAGAATGTAAACAAGATAAAATTTTATAAAAAAAACGATTTTAATTTTACAATTAAAAATAAAAACGACCACAATTGGAAATCTACCGTGTGTGTATATAACATTATAGGGATAGGCGCTTAATTATCATGTATCACTTTAAATACATAATAAGGTACTCTAAAAATAATAAATAATGCAGATGAAACTACAGTTGCGGCAATTGTAATCACTTATCTTGTATTACAACATTCACAGAGATACTTATCATCACAATATTGGTAGAATCTTTTTCCCATAATATTTAACGACTCTATAAATGAAAACTATATTTGTAGAAAAAATGAGCAAGGCTATCATTAATGTTTTAGGACCTAAATCCAGGAGGTCAATTCTTGACGATTTGAAAAATGGGCATACATATGCAATTCTAACATATGATCTAATAAGGGAAATAGAAATATTAATATTAAAATATTTCCCTTGATCCTCTGCTATTTCATCAAAATTAAGGTCGTTTCAATAAAACTATTAAATTTTTTCCCCTCAAATAGTGAAAAATCCAAAGACATAGCTAACCATATAAATATATCAGATTCGAGATTAACAATAAATTGCATGTCAGCTTTCTGATCTGATAATGTCTCAGTGAATCTGGTAAAAACAGAGTGTATTTAATTAGTTTAATAAAATAAAAATATAATAAATTACTTGTTTTGTATATACCTTAATATAAAAGCATGGTAATAATTTATTCCAAACAATTATAAGAAATTTATTTATAAAAAGTAAGTAGACATATAGTTGATTTTAATCTATTATATAGAATTAGTTATAAAATACTAGGTAAAATTCCACTTTTACAGACATATTTGACAGTTAGAGAATATATTACAGTTAATAATTTAACAAATTTTACTAATCAATGCTCTTGATATTAAATATAGCAACAATTTGCATTCAATTATTTAACGTAATCTATTTATTTTAAGTAAAAATGATATTTAAATTTAATCTTCATATTATTCATCCCACAATGTCTTTAAAAGATATTTTCTGATGTCCTTATCAATATTTTATATTTTCTGTAAAATATATAATTTGCTATATTGGTAAAAATTACTTGATTGTCATTTGATAATTAGATATACTGTAAATATACGACATATAATATTCCACTGTTTGTATTGTGCTTTTATATTTTTTTAATTTATGATTTAATTTTATCAATAGTTTTATAATTATATTTTACTTTTATTAAGATTAATAAATTAAAATTACTCACTTTAACAAATTATATTTGATATATTATATTATTTAGTAATTTTATGGATCTATTATTAATAATTGTAATACATTTCACTTCTGTCTTAAGACTTATCTTTGGCTTATATTCCATTTATTAAAAAACATTTTTGGTTCATTTTATATATTTATAAATTTATTTTCCCAAAAATCTATAAATTATGATGAATAGTTTTATAAAAAAATATCAACTTTTACATTCTTTCTTTTAAATTATTATTTAAGATATATGCATACATATTTGAGGGTCAGGGAGTGGGGGGAAGACTAAGGGGGATATTTTTTATTAGCTAAAAATGATATTTACAAAAAGTGATAAATTTCTGAAGGGGGAAGGGGAAAATTTCCTCTTACCCCCCCCCCCCCTTGTCTACTCTTATGATGCTGTTAATGTGTAGTTGCAATCAGAAGAATCTTAGCAAAGATTCACAAAATTATGCTGCAGATGTGTTCATCTTTACAGTTAAAAATTGACAATAAATTTTATGGCGCCATATCTAAAACTTATTTATATTTTATTTGAGATTTAATTAATCGAACTAAATGTTTACTGTCGTTATTGAGATATTTAAAATTCCTGGCTTGACATATTATATATTTGTTTAATCATTAGCTCGGCCTCTAATGTTGTTAAAACAATCCGATTTCTCTCCTTTTTCTATGCAATCCTCATCAAGCTAAAAATGCGCTCGGATGAGGCATTAGAATGAGGTAAGGAGAAGACATACTCGCATATTTTCCCAAGCATGGGGATTTATCGTTATTACGAAAAATTCTACCCATTTCTCCTCTGCTTTTAGACCATCTATTAAGTATTTTGGTGAATCATGAAAAATAGATAGAATTACAATTTCCTCAAACAAGAAATCAATGTCTTTCGGTATTTTTAATAATAATTATAAAAACCATCAATTGATTGTTTCTGTTCCAAGATCATAATATTTCTACATTTGTAAATAGAGTTATTAAAATCAAATTTTTATGTAAATATTCTAAAATTGCCATAATAAAAATATCTGCTTCATTTAAAAATGTATTAATTAGAATATTATTTGAACATTTTAATATAATATTTTAGCAATAGCGCCATAAAATTTATTATCAATTTTTGCTGTAGAGATGAACAGAGCTGTAGCATGATTTTGTGAATCTTTTTTATAAAGAATATTCTGATTGTAACTGAATATTAACTGCATGAATAGGTTTCCTACATGTGAAACGAATCCCAAATATGCTTCTGCCATTTCATACTCGAAAAAATTTTTCAATTAGGACAGCTTTTAAAATCTTTATTTAAGAAAAGTATTTTTTTAAGGGTTTGTTTAATTTTAAAATTCTATCAATGGCAGGTATTAATGACAATCACCTGATAGGTATATATCGCAACAACTCATACCATTCCAAGTCACCACTTCACCAACTCTTTTAATTCATTAACTCTTTTAGTTGATGACTAAATTCGTTAAAATATTTTATCACAATTATTTCGACATCTACAGATAGTACATTTATTGTCTTCTTGCAAGAATTATGTAGTATATGGCATATACAGCCAATTGGTATTAATTCATTATTGTGTTGCCTCAATTCGGTAACTTTTGTTTTTGTCAAAATTTACAGGGGCATTATCGGCGCAGAAAGCTGACATGCAAATTTGATAAACCTGAAATAGCTATATTTACCATTATGTGGCTAGCTACATCGTTGGATTTTTCACTATCCGAGGAAAATTTTTTAACAGTTTTATGGAAATATGCTTATTCTTGTTGAAATATCGAAGGATCAAGGGAAATGTTTTTATATTTCCCATATTAGATGCATCTGTTAGAATTGAATATGGATGCCCATCTTTCAAATCGTCTAAAATTGACCTCTAAAATCCAGGTACTAAAACACTTGTGATATTGCTCATTTTGTTCCACCACAAGTAAGGTTTGCACTTATAATGGAGTCGTTAAATATCATGAGAAAAAGATTCGACTCACATTGTGATGATTAGCTCTGTGAATGTTAAACTACATGATAGATGTATACGATTTACGCAAATGTAGTTACATCTGTATTATTTATTATTTAGAATATTTTTGTATTGCAATCGATGTTGATATACCACCCCCCCCCTCTCCTCCCTGTACTGACTTATATGAATGAAATGATGTTGATTTATTATTGGATAAAAATAAAACAGGATAGAAAGAAATTTACAAACTAGACATGATTTTCGAATAAATATTTAAAATTATTTAAAAAATATAAAAATCATCAATTAATGTCTCTCAATATTATTATTATATATTAAATATCAGAGTTGTTAAACGCTATTTTTAAAAGTAGCGCGCCATCGCTATTGCTATTTGTTAAAAAAAGTAGCGCGCTACCGCTTTCACTATTTGTAAAAAAGTAGCGCGCTATCGCTTTCGCTATTTGTCAAAAAAAGTAGCGCGCTATTAGCTACTTTTCAAAAGTAGCTTTAGCTAATTTTAAGCTACTTTATATAAAAAAAAATTAAGAAACAAATGAAACAAATTTTTTTTATTTTTTTTTTTTGCTTATAATGTAAATGTATAATAAATAATATATAAAAATCAACATTTATAAATATAAAAATATAGTTAGTTTAGATTATAAAAAAATAAGCAATATAAATAAATATTTATTTAAATTTATTGCATTTTAATAATAATATCATTTCTGTTGCATGTGCGCTATTGTATATTTAAATACTTAAATAATTTATATTTAAAGTTAAGTGAAATTTATTTGTATATCTCAAGGCAATTAAATATATATATATTAATTTATATTTTCATTTAAAAAACCACTTGTTTTTTCTTTTTTAATATATAAAAATATATTGTAAATTACCATAATAATAATCGTTCCAATTTTAATCTTCAAAATTTCATATTGTGAATTCCTCCGTAACTTATTCAATACAATCACACATTTTATTCTATTCTTATATTATTCATTAATTTTAATATTATCATCATCAAGTCTAGAGCGACGATCAGAAAGTATAAGCTTTGATTTACTAAATAATCTCTCGACACTAGCACTTGAGGGCAAGGGGGTATTTAATTCTATATGTAAATTATTAATATATGAAAAATTATCAAAAATATTCATTTCAATATTTTTTGATTGGAAAAAAAGATCAATTGGATTTTCTATTAAATCATCTTTAATTTCAAAAAAATTATTTGAAGATGTCTTCGTGGTAGATACTCGGCAATCTATGTTTGTTGGAGTAAGATTATTCAGCTTCGCCATTAGCCTATCGTGTTGATGTTTGGCATCATCGGAATTTATATATGGCCAGTTTGGTTTAAACTTTGGATGAACCATTGTTGCTAAGACATTGTCATCATTGTATAAGTTTGGGAATCTAAAAGTTAAAAAAATAGAGTATTTTAAATATATCTTAATCATATAATTTTATAAATTTTTTAGCTTTAAACATTAAGTTAGAATAAATCTTCAGTCAAAATCAAAACATTATAAATTTTATTTACCTTCTCTCAATGCCTTTTAACAGAGAGTCTACTAGGGGCTGACATAAGATTAGATTATTCAATCTCTTTAATTTGGTATTTAGGATACTTAAAGTGGGAACATAATACCCCATCTCCATATTATCCTCTTCCAAAATTTCAAGGGAAACAGCAACATATTGCATAACCTAAAAAATAAAAATGATATGGAAATGAATCATTATTAATTAGAATTACTTCTGTACACTCTTTTATAAAAGTATGCTCTTCATCGTTAATTTATTCAATTTCAACAAGATCACAGAGATAAATAATCTCTAATCTTCTTTCCTCCAGAAAAAAAGCGAAGTTTTATTGCTTGGTATACAGAATTCCATCTTGTACGATATGGGGTTAATAAATACCTCCCTAATTTTTTTTAAACATGTCAGAACTTTTAGGAGATTTGTTCTGCTTATTCCATAAAGTTTGACATTTATAAAATGTCGATCTTGACACCCTTTTAAAATCTTCATCATTTAAAGCTCCTTCAGCATCTACTGTTGCTATCAAGTTTAAATTATGACAGGAGCATCTCTGATGGCTGGGTAACATTGTGGAGTTATTTGAAGATCCTATAGAATATTGATTAGATTAACATGTATTATAAAATAATTTAAATCTTCTTCTAAGATCTCATTAATATCATTGGCATCAACACCTATTTCCTCCTCTTCCAATGTTGACTATCATTCTGTATCTCATCTTCAGCATTATCCTTACCAAATATTCTATATTCATATTAAATAGGACAGATTAAATTATTCATCCAATTTTAATAGAAATGTCTAGTAATATTTATCAAAAATGGAGTGATAAAATCATTTCTTAGTATTCTAAATTTTGAACCTCAGGAATTATAATGTAACTAAGTAAAAATATTTTATCAAATGAATACATTGAATGAATTCCATGTACTGTATATAAATTGATGGCAATTAATCAATAAGAAATAAATATAGTAAAAATCTAATCATCCATGAATTTAATAACCATATCTTATTAAATGTTAGATTAGCTCAATGACACTGTACAATAAAAATTAATGAAATAATCCACCTCTGTTTTATATTTTATTAGTTAATTTCACTAATTTTATATAAATTATGATAATCATAATATTACTAAAATATGTATGTATTTAGTTAATAAAAATTCTATAAATAATGTGAAATATTAAAATACTAAATATTTTATAGATCAAATAATAACCATTCCATTTTGATTAATTTACTGCCCAAAAAATCATAACTTAAAATAAATATTATAAATAAATTTGTGATATAACCTAAATGCCTTCAGATAGGTAGACCCATTATCAGTAACCATCTTGCAAACTTTACTATGAATCCTAAAAGACTTGTGGATGTCAATAATTTTATTTGCAAGTATGTCATATGTCTGGCATCCTATAATCCTTTTAAGGGCTAAGGCTATAGATCTTCTTTTTAAAGTCCTTGGGTCTAACCAATGGCCTGTGATTCCCAAATAAGGTCTAAAAATATTTAATCAAATCAATTTATAAATATAAATAAGTTTTTACCTTCTGTTATGTGTCCAACTATCTGCCGCGGTACATACATAAGATATATCTGATAACTCTACTATTAGAGCATCTTTCATCACTTTGAAGTTGTCGGCTATTTTATTCATAAGTGTCTGGCGACATAAAACTATTGTGCCAGGGGATAAAGTTTTAATCATCATAGTAAATGATGGATTATCAACCAAAACAATTACTTTATCAGCCAATTTTTGTGAAATATTGGCATGTTTATTATCAGTTAATTTGGTTTGGATAGTATTTGTCTTTTTGAATGAAGATTCTCCTATACCAAAATTTTTTATATGTTTCTCTATTTCCTTATAGCAATTGGCGTGAAGAGTCTAATAAAATAAATAATATTATAATGTAAAAATAACAATTTATCTTTAGGTGTTTCTTCAGGTTATAGCTACTCGATTAATTTGATGATATATGTTTTTTACATTTTAAGTACAGGAATTTGAATCCAAATTTTGTTTTAATATTTATTTTAAAAAATTTTTTCAAATCTAGGGAATGGGAAATCGTTATTAAAGCTATTAAGTACATTTTCTTCCATTGAATCTTCCATGTCTGAATCACTTTCAAGGATTTGGATATCCATGGGCGATGCCATTTTAGATTATTAACACGGATTGTAAATAAAAATTAAAAATATATTTAAATTTCAAAATTAAATAATAAATTATAAAAATTATAATTAATTATGATATTATATTTAAATTTTCATGTTTATACTTACATTCATTATATTTTTTTAAAAAAGTAGCGCGCTAAAAAATTAAATAATTAAAAAAAGGTAGCGGCTATTAGCTATAGCTACCAAAAAAGATAGCGCGCTACTTTAACAACTCTGTTAAATATGTTAAAATACTAAAAAAAAATTGCGGGAGAAATTAAAAAATTGCGGTAGATTTTTGCGGGAGATTTCCAATTGCGGTAGTTTTGCTGGAGAAAGATGTCTGCGTGTAAACTAAAAAATTGCCGGAGTCTCCCGCTCTAGAGACCTCAAAGAAAATTTATACGCTAGACTAATAAATATCTCTCGAGATATGCAGATCCAACTTTATTTTCATCCTTGGATAGATGGAAAAAATTTATTTTCAACCCCCCTTCCCCCTATCCTGCTTACCATTTCAAAAAAGTGTCATTCATATTTACCTTTTCATATTAAAGTTCTTCTTCAGAACTGACATATCTTTTAAATAATTTTTATACTGGTATAGTAAACAATAATTTATTATGAAATAAATACTCTAATGATTGACACTTATTTTAAAATAAATTAGCACCTTCCTTCCTTTGTAAAGAGCTATCGACGCCTCTCCACATTAGTACAGATAACATTTTAATACAGAAATAATTGTATACACTCATTCTAATTTTTTATAATAAAATATTAATACCAACTAGTTTATTATCACCTTCAAATTCTTATTTATTATTCATAGCTGAGTTCAATTAGAATTTTGTTGGTAGGTTATAAATGGTGGCGGCTCACTATAAGATTTTTTAAATTTAATATCATGAGTGTTTTATAGAATAATAGATGAGCGTTATGGGGATGCCTTCTATCATGTAGATGGTGGGTGCAAAATTTGGAGCCCTACAATTTTAAATATTTGATAGTCAAAGACGGCTCTCATGGATCCCTGCTGGTCTTCCCCTATTTTCTTGTCGTTGTTTCATGATCTCCTCTGGTAAAAGCTTTTTTATATTTTTGGCTATTACAACATTATAGGACTAAGCACTTTTTACGTATCAGATGATCCAAAATTAAAATTAAGGTCTAAGCCAGTCTAAGCATAAGTAAACTCATCCGCCATATTTAGCCATTTTGTACACTTGATTTTTAAAATTATTAAAAATAAAAATTACCTGTGATTCTAAAAATGATAAAATATTGATGAAATATTTAAATTATTACTTTGTAATATATATTATTATAGCTATCTACTATACCATCGAAGAAGAGCTTCCCCGTTGCCAGAAGGTATAATTTAAAAAAGTTAATATTATGTATCTTAAAAAAATATAGGAAGATTTTCATTATGAGTTTACAGAATGTGATAAACATGGAGGCAGATGGAGAGTCTCAGTACCGGACCTAAATAAATGCATTGGCGGTGAACCCATGCCACCTCAGAGAGGGAAGGATTGCAGTAAATTTTTTTTTTGCTTATTATTAAGATGCATTAAAGTGATAATTTTTAAGTAGTTAAAACTAATTAAAACACTTCAAAATATTTAATAATGATTCTCTATATATTATCTATAATATTTTATATTGACTTGTTTGATATAAATTCTGTTCACACTTATATACAATTTAAATATTTTTCATTAAAGAATTAAAAAATCTAGGAAATTAATTCCAATTGTAATAGATTCTTGAAGAAAGAATTATTCATTATCTTTCAATTTTATTTATTAATATATTAAATTCTCTAGAATTGTATATTTTTACTTTTTATTAAACGTAAGAATATTAAAATTAGTATGTGTGATAATGACCATTATAATTTTAATCCTTACTTCCATAAAAATAGTAACATCTTAACCTCAACAATCAATTGCAGTTAAATTTGACCCATTAACAGTCCTCCATGTTTATCTGTTATTTACCATGCCCTCTGTTAAGTCAACAATTATATTATCTTTGGCAAAGGCTATGTACCCCTATTTAGGGGTAAATAGCATATTATATTTTAGGCCATTTGCTCCTGTTTGGGAGTAAATAGAAAATTATAGCCTACATGCCCCTGTTTGTAAAAACTATCCTTATTTTTAACAGTCAAACCTTGTTTTTTTAAAAACTATCTTTTTTTGTAAATTCTAATATTGTTTTTTAAAACTAACTTTGTTTTTTTGTAATATACACTTGTTTTTTATGCATTGTTTTATTTAAAAAAAATAAAATTATTTTTAGAAACAAATATCATTATCTTTTAATGTTCAGAATATATTACAAATAACATTATTTGATATTTGAATTTCTATAATAAAACTATTTTTTAAATCTAAATAAGGGCTAATGCAAAAATAGTTATTTAATTAAATTTTTCACTCCCACCCATTTTATTGCTGGCTTAAATCAAATTTTATAATTATAATCAATTGTGACAAATATGAATAAGCTTTATTAATATATATTTTATAAATTTAATCAAAATAAATTTATATAATCATTACAATAAAAGACAATTTATACAAAACCATAAATTTTTTCGTAGTTTTTTTATAATATTTTGGCAATGGAAATGGTACCAATTTAAGCATATATAGCACTTTATAGACAAATCATTTTTCAAAATTATGTCACATTTTTGGCAAAGCCATGGTTCCGCTAAAATATGATTCTCTAAATCATTTAGTTTTATCCATGCTTTCATTGTAACATATGATACAATGAGACCTATATGGACATCATCATTTTTAAGACATCGCATGTCCCTTGAAATAGTTGTAAAGATATCATCATTGACAATTATAAGCTGTTTTTCTATTTTAACCTTAGCATTAATTTTTGATAATCTTACTAAAATCCAAACTGCCTTTTCTATATTTGAATTGAGTAGGCCATTTTATATTCTGGTAAAAAAATATACAAAGTGTTTTAAAAAAATTCATACTTGCTATATCTGGATTCTTGCAAGATTCCATTTGAAGGTAAATAAAAAAAATATAAATACTTGAATTTATAGTGTTGTTAAACTACCTTATTTTGGTCAACTATATATAAAACAGCATAGCCATGTTTTTATCCAAACATATTCGAATCAATCTTCAAGTTGAGACTCAACTTAGAGGCTTAATTCATTTTTTAGGCTGAAAGCTTGACTAAGCCACAACAGAGATGGTCAAAGTTAGGTAATTTAACAACACTATGAATTTATATTGCTAATTATGAAATCAATAAATTCTGCATGAGAATAAGGTTGTTTTAATATTAAATAACAATGTTATAAAAATTATATATGACTTGGGGGTAAATAGGAAATTATATTTTAGGCTACTTGCCCCCATTTGGGGGTAAATAAAAAAAATTATAGGCAAGGTGCCCCCAAATGGGGGTAAATAAAAAATTTTAGGCTGCTGCCCTCAAATGGGGGTAAATAAGTAAATTTTTTTATGTAGATTCAAACATAACCCTGTTTTTTGTAATCAAGCCTTTATCTGTATATTCAAACATTGTTTTTTAAAACTAATTTTGTTTTTTTAATAAAATCTACCGGTTTATGTAATCAAACCTAATATATTGTGACAAACATGAAATAGCTTTATTAATCTATATATTTTATAAATATAAGCAAAATAAATAATATAATCATTACATTAACGACAATTTATACATAACCATATATGTTTTTGTGGTTTTTTTAAAAAATATTTTGGCAAAGAAGATGGTACCAATTTAAGCATATATCGCACATTATAGATAAATCATTTTTCAAAATTATATCACATTTTTGACAAAGCCATGGTTCCTCTAAAATAAGATTGTGTAAAACATTAAGTTTTATCAAAGCTTCCTTTGTAACATATGAAACAACGATACTAATATCGACATCATCATTTTTAAGACATCACATATCTCTCGACATAGTTGGATAGATATCATCTTTGATAATTAGTTGACAGCTTTTTCTATATTTGAAAGATGGGAGTAGGCCATTTTATTTTCTGGGATTAAAAAAAGTATACAAAGTATCTCTAGATTCCAACAAATTTTTATTTGCAAAATTATAATAAAGTTAATTTAAAAAAATATATATAAATACCTGAATTTATATTGCTAGTTATTATGAAAATTAATAACTTATACCTGAGAATTAGGTTGTTCTATTAAATATTAAGTTATAAATAAATTTACATGAAAGATAGAACTGTCTCCTATTTTGCTATTTTCAACAGATATTAGATTATTTATCTTACTCTTTTTTCTTCTTTCCGCCTGCCATGTCCTTTCATTCTGGCAGATAATATTAAATTAGCTATTTTGCTTTCCAAATTCTTTTTATCTAAAATAGTTAAAACAAAATTTTTTGACCGTGTTTAAAAATGCAAACTAATAATTTAAATTTATTTAAAAATGAAACTACAAATAATTTGATACTTTCATCATGTTTACGTTGTTTGTCTCTTTCCAAATATATTTTTTTAATTTAAATCAAGATATAATATTACTTTGGATAATTGCAGATACTTTCTCCTGTAAGGCTGGGGTATCATGAGGGTATTGTTAAGAGGCTGTGGCAGAATCTGTAGATTTAAAAATATTTATAATTTTGTAATAAATAAATTACCCCAATTTGATGGGATTACATAAAACAATTTATCGCCCTGATTACATTTCTCCATGATATCAAAGTTCTTTGTCAATAAAATCAAATTTATCCTGCGATAGATGTGAGATAAATTCTGTTTGGGATGTTTATTTCTTTATCATTTTATTATATTTTTCTCTTTGCGATAATTTTTTTTGTAAGATTAATAATCCCCACCAACTTCATCAAAAAAATGGTGGAAGGAGGAAATCCCGACACAGAAAATAATAAAAATATTAGTAGACTAACCCCTATTACGCATAAATTCAATGGCACTTGAAAAAAATTGACGAAAGATTATGGGAAATATAAACGACTTTTTTTCCAGAATTCAAGTATAGAGAATTGTTAACAGCTTATGCTTAAAAATTTTTTTTTTATGAAATAGCTGAAAGTTGCTCAGTAAAAACAGCTGTTGGTATTAATATATTCACATCTGTCGATTTACTGGATATGGGGTATAAGATTAATGTATCATTTGAACAATGTTCCTATGGGTATCTTACCACAATGCTCCTGCCTTTTAGGCATATTAAGGCTTTAAGAGCTACACTGCAGTAAAAAAATGGACAAAAGCCTATTCCTTATATTGCAATCCTAACACACACCAAGTGGGCTACCCAAATATTACCATAAATCAAACACCTATTTGCATTACAAAAAAAATCGCAAAAAGAAAAATATAATAAAATGATAAGAAAAATTAACACCCCAAGCAAAATTTTCTCACATCTATCGCAGGATAAATTTGAATTTATTGACAAAGAACTTTGATATCATGGAGAAATGTAATCAGCGTGATAAATTGTTTGATGTAATCCCATCAAATTATGGTAATTTATTTATTATAAAATTATAAATATTCTTAAATCTATAGATTCTTTGGAAATCAAAATAGCTAATTTAATATTACATGCTAGAATGCATGGCAGGCGGAAAGAATCCGATTTAACTGTAATAGGATTGTCCAGAAAAAAGAGGAAGAAAAATAATCAAATATCTGTAGAAAATATCGAAAGAGGAAACAGTACTATCTTTCATATAAATTTTTTTATAACATTTGATATTTAATATTAGAACAACCTTATTCTTAGGAATTCTGGACTTCTGCCATTATTATATATGAAGCTCCATATATTTTCAGCAATTAAATATTTGCCTATCCCTTCCTTCCTTCCTTCCTTCCTTCCTTCCTTCCTTCCTTCCTTCCTTCCTTCCTTCCTTCCTTCCTTCCTTCCTTCCTTCCTTCCCTTCCTTGGCATTAAATAAGTGGACCATGCGTTCTAGGCTTCCAAAAAAAAACACTTAGCGTGACGCTTTTTAAATTTTTTTTTATCAAATTAGTAACTAAACCTGATTGAATTGATAAACAGGATAAACATACCTTGTATAATTATTATTAGATACGCTTTGTTTAATTATATTAAATATTTTTTTTTCTTTCTCCTCTTCTTATTACGAGTATTAGATTACAATTATCGTACATTTATTTTATTTATTATCGATTTCATCAAATTTGTTTTATTTTTTTTATTATTGTCAAAAAAAAATGTGATATCCTTCTTTACTATAACGTTAATTATATTAATAAAATTAGAAATTCTTTATGCGAATAAAATTAGACGCTAAATAATGAAATGACGATTTTATTAATTATTTAAAATTAAGTAATAATATCTTAATTTTTTATTACGGATTTGTTCCTCACTCACAACCTCTCCCTCCACATTAGCTAGAAAAGAAAAATGAAAAATAATATTATTTAAAAAATAATCGAAAATTAAATATAGGATTTTTGTGGCCCCGACAAAAATTTTATTTCCGAATTCGGCCATGAGTTATTCTAGTTATATTTACCCAAATTATCGATCGAATTAGAATGATTGATTTTTTTAATTACGTCATTAAAATTTTGCTAATTAAAAAGAAAATATTGTTAATCGAAAAACGTCAATCGACGCATCCCTTGAATGCGATAAGTAGTCTTAAACCCTAGGGTTCGACGCGGATTCGGGGTTTATAAACTTTTGAGAAACGGTGTGGGTGGGTGGTCATATTTTGAAACATGTTTTGTTTTTATGAACATTTTTTTTAGCCCCCGTTTAACGGTTGAATTCAATTTTTTAAAAATTTCTTTCTATCTTCTTAATAATAACGTCAGATTCGAGCCTCTTTTTAAAAAATGACTGATGTTTTAGCCAGAAAAAATATTGATTAACACATCAAGATTTCGCTAATAGAATGTTCAAATCATTGTGCTGAGCAAAATCTTTACATTATATTCAGTAATAAAAAATATCAATTATATATTATAAATAATAATTAATAAATATATCTTATTATTTCCAATCAAATCAATAATTTTTAATAAATTTGCATGCGAAAAATATACCTATTTTCAAAACCTGTGACATACACACCCTTTTATGGGCCAAGAGTATGCGCAGTAGACTTTAATTATTATAATTTTTATAAAAAATTAAGTTGCCAAAAAATATAACTAAATAAAATACATAACATATATTACATAATACTAAACTAAATATAATTTCACGAATTGATGCTGATACATATTATAAACAAAAATCATACCATATTATCTACCAACTATTGTAATAGCAGCGTTTCGTATTTCCCACACCACATGTCTGTAGTTATCATATGACCATTCACTTCTTTTCCATCTTTATCCATTATCAATTGCTTCAAGTTATCCATTTTCTTTAGTGCCTGCTTGGTTATGGACGGTTTCTATACATGATCTTAGGATTCCAGGGAAACTTTCTATTGGCTAAATTGCTTCTACCTGGGAGGTTCGGATCATTATTAGTCGGGATTATACATCTAAGTACAAATGCTGTTGGTCGTAGTCTATTCTTCATTTTTCGGGGTTGATTATCGCACTGTCCAATGAGATGATTATTTGCTTGACATTTAAAACAGCGTCTTTTTTTAAAAAAAAGAATGATAGCTCATATATTATTAAACGGTAATTCAGCAAATATCAATCCAACGGTGATTCACAGAGACCGTCAATCACCAGGCAGGCAATAGAAGAAAGGGTTAATTTGGAACAATTGACGGCTACTAATGATAATGGTCCCATGGTTGCAACTTTCTAGATGTTGTTGGGAGACCTCCTATTACAATAGTTTGTAGAAAATATTGTATATATCATGTTTATAATTTATAGTTACCACAATTTTTGCAAAAATCATAAGTATAACGTATACGTTATTATATATGTGTTTACATCAATTTTTATAAAACGATATCAGGTGTAGTCGACTGCATGTCCTTATCCCATAAAGGGTGGGTATGTCACCGAATATTGAAAATACTTATATATTTTTCGACTTATATTTAGTCAAATATTATTTATTTTTTTAAATTTAGTCATATTTTTTAAATATAATTCATAATTTATTTTATTTCTCAATTTACTCCAAAATGTTTTATTAGTCAATTATTATCTTATTCCAGCCTTCAACTTATTTTCAGAATACATCATATCAAGCCTATGTAATTTGCAAATCAAAAATGGCTTCTCTTTTTGTGTTTCAAAATCCGTGAAAAAAATTAATGAATAAAAACATGATCAGTCTACGTTTTTGTATCTCGTAAAAATGAATGATTGACATATAATTATCAATTATATAATATTAAATAATTATCAATTATATCTTAAATATATCATCGATTAATTATGTTATAATTTTATAATAATATAATGGATTTTTTTTTGTCGAGCGCATAAAATATTTTTTCGCAACTTCTCAATTATGAAATTCGCCCATTTTGAATAGAAACAACCTATCACATTTTTAATTCTTTTATTTATTATTTTATTCCTGGTATTTTTTAAAAATTTATATTCATAAACTATATTGGGGTTTTTTTCGGAAAGAACCGGATAAGGGCAAACGGTTTTCCCCTGGCACGGAATTTTACGTATATCGACTTTCCCGCCAAATTTAACATATTCTAGCTCTTACCCAAGCGAAAATTTAAGGGGGAAAAAAATTATTCGGATTTGCAGAAATTCCAGTTTACTCCATTTTGGAATATCTACTTTAACGTACTTTTTGCAACGATGCTATTTCTATTGTAGGTCTGCAAATGCTATAATTCTTAGGCCCGACCCGGCAGGAAAATGGGCTCTGTCCAACCCAGCCCGGTTCCATTGATTTTTTTTTACATACAAGGCTTAAACCAAAATATGTATTGTTTGAACAGCAAAAATAAACAACGAAAAACGCTATACTTTATGGATTATAACTTCCACGAAATATCAGAACTCATTAAATATATTTATACAACAAAATAAATTTGCCCGACTCGGTCCGGAAATTTTTTTGTACCGTCCGGTTTATTAAAATTTTTCGGGCGGGTATTGCAAATCTTAAATTTGTATACTCAAAACTATAGGAAGTGAAATGCACTGATACAAGGGCAATCCAAATGAATAGTTTTTTTTTACGTCAGGCAAGATAATATCCACAATAGTCAGCTGTTATGAATCACGTCAGCAAAAAACAAAACTTAAAATAAAACATTTTAAAAGGCAAAATATGAGTAAAATTAACAGTAATGAAGTGGTGTATGATAAATTAAATCACCTCTGAGAATTTTCAGTTTGTATTCGTTTTGTTTAAGGGATTTCTTTAGAAAGAGCTAACATTTATTTTTATAAACGGTGGTTTTTTCCAATATTTTTCGATATTTAATAATCTCATTAATTATTAATCCAACAAACGCTTTACCTGGTCTTGTTCTTGTACTTTTATAAAAATAATTATATAAAACCAAAATATCAATTTAAGATGTACAAAATAATAAATTTGGATATTTAAAAGGTTTTCCCCTTTTTATTCGAATAATTTTTGTTTTGGGGGTTTACCGATTTTTTATTGGTTCCAGACCGAAATACTCGACTCGGTCCGGTATTGAATTTTATGAGTACAATTTTTTTGATACCGGTGGGATCAGCTGATACCTTAGAGCCTTAGAGTAACGGTTGAGATTGTATCTGCCATAAAAGTGGCTTAGACGCAGCCTTTTGGCTCCATCACGAAGCTAATTAATAGCGCGAAATATGATCAAAACAATTTTTATATAAAATAAATTTATTAATAAATTTTTTTTAAAAAAAAAAGTGTTTTCCTGTTCGCCCGGTTACTTTCTCGATATTCAAGGAGATCAAGAGTGCCACCCGTGCCTCTCCGGCACTTACTCGTTGGGCGGTGGTTTGAGGTTCGAAGAGTGGAATTCCTTGCCTCCCGGATTTAAATCTCTCAGCGAGGGAGTCGAGGACAGGGACCTTGGCGATAAGGATGCCTCCGATTTCCTTAAATACAATTGCTCCAAGTTTAAATCTCCATTTAAACATTAGTACATTGACTATTTTTTTAGATTAGGTTGGCTCACAAATAAGCCAGGGTTCTAACAAGTTCATATATGGGGGTGGGGAAGGACATATTTGGCGAAAGAATTTATGATTTTTTGATAGTTATATGTTCTAACTCCACTTTTGGCGGTAAATTAAGTTATGATCGATATTTTATCGTCAGGGGTTCCCTCCCTATTTTTACGTTACTCCCTTTTCCCCTATTAAATATTATATATATTTTTTAAACGAGATAATAATATATAATATAGTCAGTTGAACTTGCCTAATTTGGGCTATTGATAATTCGGGTGACTCCATATTTTGACCAAAATTTTTGAGTCCCAATCAAATTCTTTTGGGCAGCTGTCTAGTCTAAGTTGGGCAAAATCATGGTCTCGACGAAGCCCAAATTAGCCATGTTTTATTTTATTGTTATCATGATATCCAACGAAATATAGAACGGAGTTCTTCACTATACTTTAAATAAAAAAATTTTTAAAAATATGCCCTAAGTGTGAGCTCAGGTTAATAGTTTTCCTTTTCCCATGAAATATAGTATAGCATTATATTGATTTTTATCGCAATTTTGATCGATTCTTAATAGGAAAATCACGTTTTTTTTTAAAAAAAAATTGCTACCCATATCATTAACGTTGCGATATCGTTAGCTCCTCTTGATTATTTAGGCGTGCTGGACATTAGTACAAACTTAGTCTTACAATTCATTCAAAATGCAATAAAAAGTGTACATTGAAGTCCACCATTGAAAGACATATAAAACTACAAGTGAATGATATTGACTACAACTGGCTTCAATATATGTATAATCTTAATAAATAAATCGGCAGTCTAGATTGGTATTAATGTCATCGAATTTTCAAGGAACATATGGTCCACTATTTTAATTTCGTACCCGATTTACAGAACAGTTTCTGGTCTTGATTTAGGCTTCATTCCGGTCTGCCTTGATTCTCTACTACTACCGTCTAAAAATGTTACGCTCAAATCAGATTTAGCCTTTGTAGGAGCACGCTTTATCCCTAACCAATTTCCTAAGCGATGCCCTAAAATAAACTAATATTTTATTATCACTTAAAAAAACATTACTTAAAATCGATTTTTTTTGGCGGAGAAAATAAAAAGTTAATTGGACGAAGGGAAATTCATTTAAAATTCGATCAAAAGTAGCATCAATAAAAAGTTGAGTGGACGAAGGGAAATCCATTTCGATAAAATTTCGATCAAAAGTAACACCAGGACCCTGTAATTTACAAGCCATTGATGATAGGTGTGAATTTCTTGGGAAATTTTTTTTTTTTGGCTGTTTTCAATTCAAGTGGTATCTGATCTTATGATAGGTTGTTAATATTTTATCAAAACTACAGAATAATGTTGATATCTTAGTTTTTTTATTATACATTAAATTTTTCAATTATTACATTTATATTAAGATCACTGTGGAGAGCCTCGGGCGAATTTTTAGCGTCTTATCCCAACCTTTGCGTCGCTTCCTTGTATTACACGGTCAAATTAGTCAAGCCCGGAAAACTGAAGTTCGTGTACCGTTATTCCAACATTGACACCTTTTTCAATTATATGGTTAGTTTTTATAGATTTTTTCTTGAAGTCACATTAGTATCCTTTTTAGAACATGATGACCTTTATGTTAGAGGCCCGGCCCGGCCCAAACGGTCTTCGGGCCGGGCTCGGGCCTAATTCTATTTAAAATAATCGGGTTCGGGCCGGGCAGGGTCTAATATTTTTAAAAAAATTTCGGGCCGTGTCGGACCTTGGGAATTTTATTAAATACATCTAAATTTATCAATTTTATATTGAATTATGTAAAATAAAAAATTTTAATTTAATTTTTTGAAACTAAACTCTATATAACATATGTCTTTTATTTAAGTAATTATAAAAATTAATTTCTATATTTAAATAAATTCGGGCCTGGCGTGGCTGGTAAATTAATTTAAAATAAATTTAGGGTTCGGGCCGGCCAGCAAAACTTTTTAAAAAAATTTCGGGCCGGGCCGGGTTTGAAAAATTAAGCCGGATGCAGATCACTACTTTATGTGCCTAAAAACGGCTATGTCACGTAGTCTTTTAATATTGTACTTTGCGATATCATTATATATCTTAGATTTTTTTTCTAATCACCACACTAGTACACTAATAAGGATCTTTTGCAAAGTTATAGTAAATCTTCTTAATCGCCATTAAAGGAGAAAAAGAAGATTATAATATAAAATAATTATATTACTCTAACTTTGCGAAATACACTAATAAGGTCTCTAAGAAAAATATAACACCTTTTTTTAGTAAAATAATGCCCTCTTTTTTTTCAAAAACACAGTTTCCTATACGGATCAAAAAGAAGGAGCGATATATTAAATATTATGGACAAATATTTTTTTTTAGTCTTATTAAATCAAATATTACCTTTTATTTTAAAGGTTTTGAACGAGCAATGTCAAAATTTAAAAGATACCAAAGTTAGATGGCCAGAACTGACGGAGGAAAATGATTGGAAATTGGAAGAAGTAATATAAGTTAGACATACTTCCAAATATGTTTCATCTTAAAAAACAGTCCGATTCATAAAAAGGAATACAAAGTGGCTAATAAAGTTATTAGTATTCGATCAAAAAATTTACTAATACTTATTTGATTGGTATAATTACGAATAGTAAATTAGATTATTTGATTTATACAATTCCTATTCTATTTTGAAATAGACCTATTTTTTTTTAAATAAAAAATGTTTTCTGATTTAATATTTTAGCGCTTTATAAACACTTCTTTAAAAAAAAGTAACGCGTTACTTCGTTACTTCTATCCTCAGGATGGATCTTTTGTTTATCGATATGATACTGAATTCCAAATACATTTAGCGGATTTGTGGAGATATTATTTTTTCATTGCAATTTCATAATTTTATATATTAATCGGAAATGAGAAGATAAAGATTCTTAAATATTATGTTCTTTTATATGCTGCTCTTTTTCCTGACTGGTGGTAGTGATATCTGGTCATTGGGCGTCTCTTAAAAGTTTGTTTCTATTTTAAACTGGGATAGCGGAGTATTGGACAAGCTTAAAAACTATTTTTGTTACCAAAAATAAAACATCTGTACAATCTTTCAAAATAATAGGTATTATGACTCCAAGTAGATTGGGAGTTGTGATATATTGATGAATTTATTACCACCGACTAATTCGAGTAATGAAATCGTTTAAAGTGGGGATAACATGGTTATCTTTAAAGGATTACAGGTTTATCAAAATTGCAACACTTTTTGATGATTTGCCACCATATTTTTTGTACACAATATTTAGGTTCTGCCTGTGATTGGCTCAATATGTTTCAATTTTATGTAGGCCTATGAGAGTGCTGATGACTAACATATGTTTATGACATGAATGATGATATCATTACCCCATGTTAAGACAAAAACGGACTTATAAAAACGCTCTAATAGACAGATATTGTAAGTGACCAGTTTAAAGGTGAACGCTTCGAAAATAAAGTTTCTGTAATGCAATAACGTATTTTGGATTTCGGATATATAAACAAGGTATCCACCCTGTCAAAGATAAAAATCTAAGCAATTCGTAAGATGTATCTTCCAATAGTTAAATACCAGTACCATGAGTGAGGGGTTAATTATAAATTTATAGTTGAAGCCTTTTTCAGCAATGAAGATTATCTTTGATTTGAAGTTGAAAAATTACACAATGCGAGAAAGGATCTTTGGAACTAATAAGCGTAACCATGAGTCTGTCGATTAGGCTTTAGTCTTTATTTTGAGGAAGTGACTCTTTAAATTACTCGTCGTTATTTCGCATGGTGAATGTATTACCGTTTATCATTACTTTACATATATATATATATAACGCATTACCTCTTACTTTGCAGAATACAAATGACGTCACTTTACAGCAATGCGTTATATAATTTATAATATGCGTATTTTTTTAAAAATAACTCATTCAGTAAGATTATTGTATTTATAACTAAGAATCGAATGATATTTTTTATTTGTACTAGATCGACTTGAAATCCGGTCAAAATATTATAATTTGGAGGAGCGCGGGAGTGATAGAAAGTCCAAGCTTAACAATGGCCATTCTTATTCAAAAGATTCAAATCGAAGGTTTGTTTTTTTTTGCCCCTGATATTTAATACTCTAGAGTATAGTTGAGTAATGGCTAAATGTCGGGTAATTTTGGCTCAATCTACAAACGCTTGCTGGAGAAAACCCTTTAGCATTAAGGCGTTTTAAAATTTATATTCGTTTCTTTCAAATTTGAGCTACTACTCTGAGGCCAAATAGTTTTCGGCTAAAAACTGGGGGTAAAATTTGGCTAAAATATAGTAATTACTCTATATTCTAGAGGGCCTTTATTATTTTTTTGAGCTTGAGAATTATATAAAGTAAAAAATTTTTTATTGATTTTTGTTCTCTCAATTATACACTTACCATATAATTTTGTTTTTGTACATTCTCGTAAACATTCTTTAAATTGGACTAAGATTATTTTAGGTTAAAAGCTGAACCCTAAAATGTTTAATTTTTTTGGAATACTCCTAACGATTAATTTTATTAAAAAAAACATGTTTCATAGGTGTAGCCTACGCTTCTCAGTGCGATAAATGCCCGGCGGGAACTTCTAGCCCGAACGGATCTACCGAGTGTCCATCTTGTTCGGAAAATTACTATACTCCACTACCCGGGTCACCATCCTGCCTTGCCTGTCCGTCTCATAAATATTCTCGTAAATACCCAAATCATAATGTCGTTATAAAATGAACTAAGTTTACGTTTCTTTTTTTCCCCCAATAAAATAAACTCCATTTGATTTGTCGGACTCGAGAAAATTAATTAAAAGGAAAATCTTCTAAACCGCAAAATATGTCAGCCTGTTTTCTATTATTTTTGTTGGAATAAATCATACATGTTAAGGAATATGTTGCCCAAAGTTTATTTTTTTCTAGTGTTCTTAAGTTTTTTGGACACTTATTTCTTAAAACATTGTTGTTCACCAAAAGTTTAAACCAGCTGTAGACGTAGCCTAAAAAAAAATTAAATATATATATTTTTTATATCAAACACCAAATTTAGCCAAAAGCTCCTCCCAATGCTTTGAAAGGGAGCCGTGCAGGGTCGCCGATTATATCGAAACGTATTCGGAATGCGACACCAAGACTAAAAAGGTTTGGTTCAATTTTTGTAAAATAAATAAATTAACATATCCCCGAGGAAAAAAGAAAGAAGAAAAATATTACAGATTTTAAAGAAAAAGTAACGAAAGATAAATCAATTCGTGATCCATAAATCCTCTCGAAAAGGGAATTATAACAAACCCAACGCACATTCTTAATTTAATTAATGTAACTTACTATCATACTAGAGGAAACTGATATACTCATGGATATCCCCTAAAATTTGCTCGGACACGCTAAAAGGTTCTATCAGGCTACCTTCCTCCAAGAATCAATATGTAGATTGTCAACCCTGCAATGCCGGTATGTATTATAACAGCACCTCTATTCACGATCTTAAACGCGCAGATACGAACACATCTATAAGCCTGAGCCTTGAAGATAACATTGAAATGGAAGGAGTTGGGATGTGCCATTTTAGTCCCGCTGGGACATACACTGACGGTCTTAATTTTACCACCGGTAAGTCTTTCTTTAGTGATGTTTAAAATTTTATTTACAAACAGGAAAATGGAGAGGAGTTGGCTTTAAGTGTCACATTTAAATTATCTAAGAAGTGAGTTGGGACACAATTTTACAAAGTGTAGACTTTGTACCCTTAATTTTCTGGTGTCAAAAATGTTTCATATTGTGGCCAGGGCAGAATAAATCATCTTTAGCTGAAAAAATATATTATTGACATAATATTCTTTATAAAATAAATTATAATATTAGAGAATGAGAATATAAATTAATAATCTTGATTTTATTCAATGTTAATTTGATTATCTTGACTGAAAATTTAACAACCAAATAAAAATGAAAGGATTTGGTGGTTGATTTGACTTAAAAACTCGGCTTAAATTATTTATAAAATTTCAAAATAAATAAAGATATTTTTATAATATAATAAAATAAAATAAGTTTTTTCGATGTTTTTTTAAGAAAACGTTACCTCTAGAAGTAGGTAACGAATGGCGTTCCTTTTCGTCAAAAATGTAACGGCATTAGTAACGACTTTACTTTGTTGACGTTACTTTGCAGCACTAATTATATCCCATTTTTTTGCAACCATTTTATGACAATGGTGCACAATTTGGTTTTATTATTTTCACGAATAATCTATTTTTTATGAAAATTAAATTTATGCCTTAAAAAACACTCATTAATTTAATCAATCTTATTACCTTCCTAGTACTGGTCGAAAGTTATTTCCTAATAATTTAATTTTCTATATTACGCTTAATCTTTGGTTTTTTATGAGGAATTGATGGCAGGGAAGAATCAATATTCCATTGATAAGATAGATTAGCAGACTAATGATGAATTTCATACCTTCGGAACCTTTTGTAAGATATTTTTTCACAGGGAACTGATGTTTACTGGGTGGCTAGATAAACTAGCAAATCATGTTAGATATGAAAAATAGAGATCTACAAATCACGGCCAGAGCCCGGTCCGGTTCGAGCGGTTTCGGGCCGGGCTGCGTCTAAAATAATTTTGGTTCGGGCTGGGCCGGGTCGGGCCTAAATTTTTAAATATATCATTACATGATTTTAGGAAGACAGACCGTTTTAATGTGTTGTATGCATTGTTAAAGTCAATTTTAATTAGGTGTTTATTTAGAGGATTATTTTGAAGATAGATGCGGGTTATATGAGCGGCAGACTCACAGCCGCCTTTGACACCAACCCCTAGTTGAGTTGAAGTGAGAATTGTGGAGACTTTCTCATTGATTCGAGCCGAAATTAACTTTGATACTAATCTCCTAAAGAGGGTGCCTATGGCAATTGGGCGTAAGAGCGATTGAAGGCATGAGACCGATATATCTTCAAGACCTAACAATCCCTCTTCTAAATTCTCAAACCTACTTAACAGTATAACTCTCCTTTGTAACAGGATCTTACATGGTGACGTTCCTACCTTCGCCCAGCCAATTTTTGGAGCAAAACTAATCTCTCTTACAAAACCCAACAAAGACCTACGCCCAATTGCCATAGGCACCCTCTTTAGGAGATTAGTATCAAAATTAATTTCGGCTCGAATCAATGAGAAAGTCTCCACAATTCTCACTTCAACTCAACTAGGGGTTGGTGTCAAAGGCGGCTGTGAGTCTGCCGCTCATATAACCCACATCTATCTTCAAAATAATCCTCTAAATAAACACCTATTAAAAATTGTTAACAATGCATACAACACAATAAAACGGTCTGTCTTTCTAGAATCCTTCATCAATAGCTTCCCATGCTACTCCAACTACATTTTAAGCTGCTATGCGATTCCCTCCATCTTACAATATGGTGAATATAGGCATTCTTCTTCAGAAGGAATTTAACAGGGTGATCCCCTAGAGTCGATGTTATTCTGTCTAGGAATAGACAATCTAGTTAAAAAAATTAAAAGCAGCTGCCTGTTAGATTTTCATATCTGGTACATAGATGACGGGATTATAAGCGGAAGCCCAGAAGAGATAGACAAAACCCTAGAAATTTTGCAAAAGGATATGCCAGACATAGGCCTCCTCTTAAACGTCAACAAAACAGAATATGTCAGCTCGCTACGCCTTTAATGAGGTTATGGCCGAAGAACTAACACATCTTGGCTCACCATTTGGAGGTTACTTAGCAGTTGAAGCCTTTTTTCAGGCTACTACGAATAATTTAAACAATACGGAGGAACTACTTATGCAACTTCCCACACATAAATCTTTCTTCTTAATTAAAAATTTCTTCAATATACCAAAGATCCTATATGCCCACAGTCAACTGCTGTTTTTAAACATCCTAAACCCTTAAGAGCATATGAATCCATAATTAAAAACATCATGGAAAAAATAACTAACCTCAAATTTAACTGCAATTCGTGGCATCATGCCACTCTCCCCTGCAATAAAGGAGGCTTAGGGTTACGATCACCCATAGCCCTATCAATTAGTGGTTTCATCTCGTCCAGATTGGCAAGCTCCAAAATAATAACTGATCACCTGTCCTTGCCAGATGCACCTGACGAAGCCAATGTCATATGGAAAGCCTCAATCGGAGATGAATGTCAACCAACAGCCTCCCATAAACAAAAGGATTAGGATAATCCGATGGCAAGGTACGTTGATTACCTCTTTTCGACCCTGCAATCTTGAAGATCATGCCCTATTAGCTTCCCTCAACCAAGGTTCAGGACATGAATACTTGGATGCCATTTCCTCTAAAAATCTCGAACTTTCAAATCAAGAATTCAGTTTTGCTGTAGCCATTCGCTTAAATATAGCAGCCTCAGTTTCATATAAGTGCGCCAAGTGCAAAAAGCCAGTAAGTTAAACTGGTCGTCATTGCCTCCAATGCATCTTTAGCAATGGACGCTCAATCCAGCATAACAGAACAGATACAATGCTCTCATAAAACGAGCTTTACAGTCCGCAGGCTTTCCTTCTACTTTAGAACCTCCAGGTCTCTTTACGGATGGGACGACCCGATGAAATTACACAAATTCCTTGGGAGAATGGCCTATTTCTAGCTTGGGACTTCTCCTGCGTTGACTCCCTCTCATCCTCTAACATCAATAAGGACATTTTAAAATATACCGAAGATTTTAAAACAAATAAATATGTGGATATTCCAGATGAGTATAAATTCGTACCAGTTGTCACGACAACCTTATCAGGCTCTTAGCCTAATTAAAAAGATTGGCGGAGCCTTAAGAACTAAATCAGGAAACCCAAAAGAAGGCGTCTACTTACGTCAACGCCTAGTCAGATTATAAAATCTAATTTCACACGGTTCATTCCCCGAGGAGCCCGATTAATATATATTTTCTTCATCTTCCCTAAATTATTTAACCCCCCCCCCCCCCCTCCCATCCCTTCTTCCTCGATAATCATTTGCAATTTCCATTATATCTATTATTATACTTTGTATTATGAAGTCTTTGTTTGTTAAATTTCTTGAATTTTCTAAAATTATGTTTTGGATATGATTTTATTTTTATATCAACATAGCACATAGGTAATTATATAATTTATTTCTCTTTTTAGAATTAATATGTTTTTTTTTAAAAAAATTTCTATATTTTTTTAAAATCAATAAATACAAACAATTTATAAAGTATTTTTAGGGAATATATAAAATATTACATATAATCATAAAAATTGTCATATAGTTTGTTTATGATATAAAAATTATGTCAAATAAATTGATATATTTGAAAATTCTTGCAAGAAACAAGGCTCTCATATTTTTTATTTGTACAATATTTTTTTTACGATCAAAAAATATACTGAATTTTTCTTTATTTAAATAAATTCGGACCTGGCCGGGTTAGCAAATAATTTATATTTCGGGTCGGGCTTTTCGGGAAAAATAAAAAAAATTTTGTTCGAATCCGGGCTGGGCATGACAACTTTTTTAAAAATCTAGGCTGGGCTTGAAAAATTAGGTCCAATGCAGATCACTAATGGGAACCCTATTATTATGTATGGCATCATTATATAAAATTTGAAAAACCCTTTTAGACCAACACGTTAAATCTCTATTTTGGAAATGGAAGGTTCAGAATTGGTTTGTATAATTCAAGTTGCTCATCGATGACCACGAATGACTGCCATCAATTTCTCAAAAAACAAATATTTAGTATACTACCCTTTGACCCAGAACTAGGAAAAAGGGGATATATTGATCAATTAGAAATAATTAGCACATTATTAAAATTTGTTTATATATTCATTTTTTTTTTGTGTAAAACACTGCAAGTTGGTTAAAAAATATAATCAAAGATATCTTATAGATGATAATGATCTATATAACAAGAAACTTAAGGAGTCTAAGGGAAAAAAAATTGGTAAAGGAGGTAGGGGGTGAAGGGCTAGAAATATCTTACATAATAAATTTAATCTTGTCAATCATTTTAAAATAAAAATTTCCAAAGGTTCGGGCCGAATATCAGTTCTTCGGACCGGATTTTTCCACTTCACTGAAACTACAACAAATAGCAAAAAATTTTAAGTTTTGAAAAATATATTCAAGAATAAATCTGCAATTATTTTTTTCTCTTCCATATTATTCACATGATAAGAATATCAAAAATGTCCTGCTGGAACCATTCCTAGGTACGGTTTTTACTACGACAAATGGTTTACTATGCCCCCTTACTTAAACGCTTTTTGCTATACGCTCACAGGTATTTTATTTTATTATATATATATATATATATAAAGTCGTAATTTAATATTCGCCCCCTCTGAGGGATTATATCGCGAAGGACGGACTAGGAAACGGGTCAAAGCTAAGAACCATGTCGAAATGCCCAGCTAACCCTAACGAAAGTGGTAGCTTTTGTTAGATGGCTCGATTTCGCCCAAGTTTAAGTTAAAATTTTATCCAAAATAATATTATCCAAGCCTCGAGATTTCGTTAATAGATGCCTAAACCTTTCCGCCATCTACTAGCAAAGTTTTCGGGCTTGCATAATATTTTTTTGGCTAAAATATTGGGTAAGCCGTTTATCAACTTTAGGAAAGTACCACTATTTTTTTTTAAACCTTGATATTATTTCAAAATGCTGTTATTGTGATTCATTTAGGAGGAATTGATTTAGCGGTTTAATTTTTTCTTCTTATTTATCACTTATTAACGGGGTTTGGATAAGATCAACCAGGAAGGAAAGAAAGAAAGAAACCATCTCATTTTATAAAAGTCCAAATTCAAAATTCTGCAAATTAAATTATCATGATAAGAACAAAAAAAAGGTAAAAATTAGAATATTATATAATATGTTATTAATGGAGGCTTTTTTCGAAATCAATATATATGCCATTCCTTTACCGATGGCGGAATATTTAAATATGATTAATATGTGTTAGCTGCGACGTGTATTTTCCGGCAATGTGTTATTTTTTTCAACTTTAAATCATTTTTTGAACACGTTTTTTTTTTAAATTTAAGAATCGGATTTTACCAGGAATGTATTCCAACATATGTGAGAACCTACTTCTACATGTTTGAGTACCTACTTCTACATGTTTGAGTACCTACTTCTACATGTTTGAGTACCTACTTCTACATGTATGGGTACCTACTTCTACATGTTTGGGTACCTACTTCTACATGTTTGGGTACCTACTTCTACATGTTTGAGTACCTACTTCTACATGTTTGAGTACCTACTTCTACATGTTTGAGTACCTACTTCTACATGTTTGGGTACCTACTTCTACATGTTTGGGTACCTACTTCTACATGTTTGGGTACCTACTTCTACATGTTTGGGTACCTACTTCTACATGTTTGGGTACCTACTTCTACATGTTTGGGTACCTACTTCTACATGTTTGGGTACTTACTTCTACATGTTTGGGTACCTACTTCTACATGTTTGAGTACCTACTTCTACATGTTTGGGTACCTACTTCTACATGTTTGAGTACCTACTTCTACATGTTTGGGTACCTACTTCTACATGTTTGAGTACCTACTTCTACATGTTTGAGTACCTACTTCTACATGTTTGAGTATCTACTTCTACATGTTTGAGTACCTACTTCTATGAATCCTACAGTTTTTTCACCAACTTTTGAACTTAATATAATTTATATTGGTTTTTCCATAGATTTTTTTTTTACACAAATTATGAATGACTCGAAGGTTAACGGCAAAATTGTCTACAATTCATGAGATAGGTATTCTAAACATGCTGGAATACATTTCAGGTAAAATCAGATTTTTAAATTTAAGCGCTCAAAAAATGACTCAATTGAAAAAAATAACACATCAACGCTAACATATTCCGTATGAATACGGTCCAGAGTTGAAAAATCCTATAAATAAAATTTGAGTCGCGCCAAAACATAATTAAAATACGATCAATATAGTAACACTCATTTTATAAAAGGGAAATGTTCGAGTGAAGAAGGATGGAGGGTTGGAGGGCCAGCAGGATATATTGGCACCTACACAAAATCGCATCCTATCCCTGGCAAGGAGTTTCCGGAAAAAGAAACGACCCAGAGCTACAAATCGGCTTACTTCAAATACTACATGTTATCGGTCGATGCGGCCGTTAAACCAATGCTCCCTTATGGTAGCGTGACCTTTGAATTCGCTATCAGCGCGACGGATGGCGACCAGCGTATTGCTGAGGGCTGCGTGTTATATTTCGTCAAGGTTAATATATATATATTGGTTTTTTAAAAGGTTTGTCTAAAGTCTACCGCCTACCACTGGAAAATAATTTATCGTTTTCTCCGGAGCGTCGAACCTATAGGTTCAATTTCATTCCGGGTTATAGTTGATAACTTTAAAATGGTTTAGTTCCAAATCCAGTTTAAACCAATTTATATCGGTTCATTCCTGTTTCTAAATCCAAATTGATTCGCTCCGGTTTTTATTGAATTTTTTTTTAGAATTAATCATCGTATATATTATTTTCGTTTAACACCTTATAATAATCTTAATAATAGTAATCAATATTAAAAATAAACAACCAAAATCAATAATTGTTGAATTTGAAATTACTTTACGCGCAAGAAATAACAAATCGACTAACGTAACACAAATAACGTATAAATTTCTACCGAATCATTTTAAAATAAATAAGGAATCCATTCATTCCATGTCTAAATCCATCACAATTCTCTTGACTCCTTGAAATTTGGGTGAAATTTTGTACATGTTAGCTGCAATGTGTAGCGCGTTTTTTTTAAAAATTTTAAAAATCTGATTTTAATCAGGTGTATCTTTTATTTTTGGTATAATAATTTTTAAAAAAAATTTAAATTATATTTTTACAAAAAAGTAACTTCTATATTTAAATAAATTCTGGCCAGCAAAACTTTTAAAAATAAATTTCGGGCCGGGCCGGGCTTGAATAATTAGGCCCGATGCAGATCACTAATTAGAATCATCGTTATTTGTAATTCTATATAACTGGGTGATAATCGATGAGCGTAATAATAGGCCATTTCGCATACTTACATCCTTGATATCTAAAAAATAATATTAGAGCAGGGATGCTACAATGTGTACAATGCTTTAGTTACGTGTATCTTAGTTTGTATTTATAAAAGTTTACCAAAATCCCGAGGGCTCCCTCGAAAACCATGTTTTTAATTCGATTTTATATGGAATCCAATAAATATAATTTTGAAAACCGCTATAAAAGGAGTTACACCGGGGCGAAAGTATTTATAACGTTTCACGTTTCTCCTTGCCAAATTTTTTCATAACGGTTATGGCTTAGTTACGGTTCGGAAAACTATAACGTTTTTTTTGTTTGTTTTGCCGTTCGGTTTGGCACAACTGATCAATTTTAATCCGTAGTTGTCATTAGATTCCTGGTAGGAGTGTTTGGAAATAATATAAATTGCTTGGCAAAGACAAAACAAAAAATAATTATATACTTGTATAAAGCAGCACAGTGTCGTCTATCTTCTCTAAACAAATAATGATAGGACTCCCCTATGGAGTAACATATATATCTACCCTCCCCCCTTTCCACCATTCGTCTAGCCCTCAATTGAACCTCCATTTTAATATGTAATAGGGTCACTCTTACTGAACCAAACTAATATGATGAAGTATTGCATTATATAAATCGATCATTATTAATTAATATTGAAAAATTTACCAGACAACTCCCAACAAATTGGCTCAAATTATCAGGAAATGGACGCGGGCCCAATTTTTATCTGAACTCAGTCGTCAGAATACTCATAGATCATCTCACGTGACTGTTAAGCGTAAACCTCGCTTCTACTCTAAAAATTCGCAAAATAGACTCACCTTCGCTTACAAGGTCAAGAGTTCTGCTAACTTTCAGTCATCCATGTTCCCTTCTTTCAGGTGGATTCTGCAAAAACCTTTCGGAGTTTCTATACACCCAAAGAACGCTTCAGGAGAAGGCAGTGAGCTAGAGGGCGATTATTGTAGGTAATGAATGGTTAATTATGTTTGATTTGTTTATAATAGACTTTCTTTATTAGAAACTTTTACTAATAGTTTGGGTCAGTAAAATTTCAATCCTTTTTTAAAAATATTATTTTGTTGGGCTTAAAAATTTGTCTTTAATTAAACTTCAAGAATCATTTGTTAATTTTTTTTTTATCATACTTGGGAGATACCCATTTTCAGGGCTGAAAAATAAATTCTTTTTCTGACCCTGGTTTAATATCGTGGCCAGGTATCCAAAAAATAATTTTAATTGGGCCAGTCTAGCACAACTCCTATTGGTTATTAAAATTTTATAAATAAAAATATGTTTAGTGCCTATATATACACTATAAACATGACGAACGTGGCCTTGGTATATTCAACATCGAAAGAAATTATAAAAGGGGGAGCTGACTCATGTGTCCCTTGTATAACATCTTCGAATCCCGAAAACGAGTAAATTTCTAAAATAAACATAAAATAAAAATAGGAAGATTTAAAAAAAAAAAAAATAATCCCTTTTTTTTGCGCCCCTCTAGGGATATAGACCCCAACTTATGCCTACCCTGTCCCCCGGGACACTTTTATTCCCTCTCTCCCAAACCAAAACCGCCTGTACTTGAGCTGATAAGTAGTCCTATTCTCAATGCGTCCTCTCTCGCCTCCGCGAATAATTCCTCTATAAAGGTTAATGAACACAACGAAACCGGCGATAACGGTAAGAAGATGCATTGCGAACCTTGCCCGGAGGGGACGGTAATAGATTTAGATCATTATTACGGCTCGAATAATAATCCGGGAATGTTGACCGTAGCTGCTTGCAAGTCTTGCGGGGTCGGAACTAAGCCTTCGAAGAATAACGGGTTGCTCCCTAAATGCGTCAGCGATTGCAAATTGCAAGAAAAAGTGGGAAACGGAAATGAAACGGATAGATACGATTTTAGGGCACTTTCCGGGTAAACAAATTTTTAAAAAAAAATTATTTTAAAACATCATTACTTTCTCGTTTTATTTTCTATTCAGTTTTATTAAATTTCGGTAGTTACTATTAACAATAAAATCGATCCTAAAAACAGTCGTGATTCTCAATCTCCATTTTTTTTTTAAAAAAACCCTATTATTCAGATTTTAAATTATTCCCCTAGAAAACATAAACTATTACATATATTATCTTAAAATTTCTCCATTTTAAAAATATGAAATATATTTCCAATTATGGATATAATATTTAATAATGTTATATATAAGGTTGAAATTGGTCGACTCCGAGCCCCTGTTCACATCGGGTGGTACTAAATACCATTACTCCTTCAGCTTCGAACTTTGCCATGATAGCGAATCGATAGACCCTTTATTACCTATCGTTTGTAGCGACGATGAAGATAACGAAGAAGGTAGTGGCACTAATGTCAACGGGAATGACCCTCTTGGTGATCATAGCCAGGGAGACGTGAAAAACGGATATTTTAAGGTTTTTTAACATTTATAAAATTTCCCTAAAGCAAATCCTTTACCTCTAATTATTATTATTTTTTAACCCAGAATTCGCCTTCGGTGTGCCGTTCCATCGTTGTTCCTTACAATTCTTTCGAAATAATTACTGGCAAAAGTCATTTAATTCCTTCGTTGAATGATACTCACAAACATAGTTTTAAAAAAAACATATTTTATTTTACTGCCCAAATAACCATGCACATGGTAAATACTTGCCAGAATGATTTTGCTATCCTAGTAGAAGCAAAGCCAGTAAATTAAAAGCCAGCATATGCCGCATAAAAATTTTCTTTTATCCAGTTCGTAAAATAATTTTATACAAATTGTTCTAGCCTCACCCATAATTTTTTTTTTACCCTTACGATGGAAAAAGTCATAAATTTTGTCTAATTGTTAAGCCTTAAAAAAATTGAGAACAAGCCTATTTGATAAAAATATTTTTGCATAATCTGTCCAGCCTCACCCATATTCTGCCTCTAGCCATAAAACCAATTCCTAAGTACGATACTCTTATCACTTTTACTTTTTTTTCCTGGTGGAATATAATAATTTATGTTGTTAAAGGTAATAACAAAAGAGTTTTATCCGTTAGCCTAGGCGATAAATTGCTAGCAGTGGGAACGGCCAAAGTACCCCTTATCGCTCGAGCTTTGAATGAGGAATTTAAATTTAAGGAGAACAAAACGTCGTTTGCCGGAAAAGATGGTTTCTCTAAACAACTCAGTGCTCAACCTGGTAAATGGCTTTATATATTTATTTTGTTCCTCCCAAATTTTAACGAATTATAACCTCATTCTTTCATTGAATTTAGACAACGTCCATTTCCTATACCGTTCCAACACGCCTACCTTAGCTTGCCCTAATGGCCGATCTACTCTTATAACCCTAATATGCGACATATCCGCCCTTTCCATAACCGCGGAAAAACTGACGCGTCAACGGAAAATCGATTTGAATCCCTTTTTCAACCTCGAGGAGGATAATATATCGCCTACCGAACATATTTACCTGCCCGATGAATGCAAATTAGGTTTCAATAAAAACAATAAATTAATATAAAATGTGGCTTAAAAAATATTATATTTCTCACCGTGTCCTACTTAACGCTATTTAAAAAAAAAATTTATTAATAAAGGAACATGTGATGGTTGCCATTTTAGGATAATGCTTAAAAGTATGCACGCGTGCCCTATATGTTCCGAAAAGGATTTCAGGATCGTGAAGGGCGAATGTTCTAATGGCAAACAAGTTATTTACCGTTATCCCGGAAGGTTTATTATAATTTAAATTTAAAAAAAAATATATTTATTAAAATTAATGAATGCAAATAAATCGGATAGCAGATATTTAAAAAAGGAGTCATTTTAAATTATATGCGTTATACTTATTATAAAATATCAATAATGATAGTAAGATGTGGTGTTGTTACTAGGCCTCGTTTTGAGCCGATTTTTAAAAACGGCTAACTCAATACTTCATCCAGTAAAAATATTCCCCAAGCCTGAACATTTTGCCTCATAGAAGGAACAAAGGTCTAGACATACATTATAGAAATCTTGAGGCTTGCCGTTTTTAAAAATCGCCTCAAAACGAGCCGTTTAAAAACAATAGTTAAATGCTACAGTCCATTTATTACCACCATGATATATATAAGTTATGGAAAACCATTAGGTGTTGTTAAACAACTGGATTTGAGCCGATTTTTTAAAAACGGCTAACTCGATATTTTAACCAGAAAAATATTGACTAAGACACGAGATTTCGTTAACATTAATAATGGTGGGATATTATAATTTTACAATTTTTCTATTCAGTTTTCATCTCATCCTTTCTTAGTCATTTCGCCCAATCTGCTTGTCATAACCTCTTTTCCGAACCAGTTTTATCTCTTCTCAAGTCCCACGTCTACATGAGCGGGGAGTGGTACAGTTTGTTTCCAATTTTTTAAGGGGGGGGGGTTAGCTAAATGTAGTATTAATTTATGGGAGGGGGAGGGAGGTTATCTAATAAATTTTTTAGATAAGATAGGACAAAAACATATTGCTGTAAAAAAAATTATTTTATACTTTTATTATTTTGCTAAACATCGACCAAATTTATATATTGCATACAATCGCAGTCATTATTTTTCAATAAAACTTATCTGGATAATTTTCTGCTATCTTTTTTAAGTGTGATTTAAAAGGGTTAAACATTCTATCAGCGAATTTATATTCGTGACAATATATTATAATAAAGCATTGCATTCATTGTAAATGAGGGTTTTTTTAAATTATTCATGTTCTAAATAATAACTCTTTTACATTGGCAATAGAGTATTGAGAATAAAATATATGAAGGGGACAACATTATAATTAAAAACGTGTAATTTATAATTTGGAAATATCGGCCGCCGAAGGTGGTAAATTTTTATAAAGGGGGTTGGTACAGGTTTTTCTGCTCAACTTTAATGGCCACGGCTCCGGATTAATTTAGTTTTACTATCTTTTTTTTTTCGCTTGTCGAAAATTTCGATTCACGCGCACTCAAAAAAATGGTAAAATATGTCATCCATCGGTGACCCCTTTACGATTAAATTCAAATATATTACAACAAAATAATTAAAACGACACATCATCGAATTATATATTATTTTATTATTTTTTTAAATAGATATTGTAGAACGATTGACGATAATTCCTTCTCTTCCGCCCTGGTTCAATCTTGCTCATCGTTGAATTACAAAGTTTATAATTATTTTTATTCTAAAGTTTCTAATTTGAGCGACCCCCTTCCCTCTTCCTCTAGAACTCAAATAGGGGTGTATTTAGGGAGCTATTACCAAAATTAGATAACATTTCTCCTTATGGATAAAGGAATTAGTTGATTTGGTAATAATTTTTGTAGTATAGAGGAGTATCTACTTAAAGTGTCAAATTAGGTTTATCAATGATTTAATAGGGATTTGGCTGTAATCTTTAGCCTTTTAAAATGATCAATTGTTTTATCAACACATAAGTAAATATGTTGGCATGTAAAGGACCATTTTTAACATGATTTTACTACACATAATTATGTTCAAAGATACGTTTAATAGTATTGACTTCAATGAGTGCCGGTGTGGTCCTGCTTTCGGTATTGTTATTCTTATGGAAGAAGAACCAAAAGTAATGACTAGTTCGTTTCAATATAATATTCTAATGTATAGTATATAAATTTATTTTATTATAGCTTAATTAAGTTTGTATCTTATAAAAATTAATTTCTTATTTATAATTGTAGAGATGAGAAAAATAAATATTCTTGTACTCTGAAGAAATGCTGAATGCATTTAAGAGCGATACTATTTTAATTATACCCTACAATGATATTGTAATTACTAAAGACACCAACATACTTTTAAAAGGTAAATAACATTGAAATTTTATTGCCTAGGCTCGAATACAAGTACACGGCCCTGGTACAAGAGACCACCAACATTAGGACACCTCGTGACGGAAAATTTTCCCTACCTGCCGTGGATTCTTGCGCACTATCGGAGGGAGATACCGACGAACAAAATAGCGGACCCGCGAAAGATACACTGTGGCGACGATTCGTTCAGCGTTTTACCGAAAGAAGTGGTGGCTCCTTTAAAAATGTCGAATTCGTTGGTGATGAGGATGGGATTTCTCTCTTAGACAATAATGATAATGGCGGTGGAGATATACCAACTAGTAGGGATGTCAGGAGAATGTCCAATAACAATATTCGCGGGAAGGTTTTTTTGTAATTTTGATTGTTACATAGTAGGAAAAATACTCGGTAAAAATTGTAACTCGAGCTTGAACACTAGAAATTATCAATTCATAGAACTTCAGTTACAATTTTATTTAACTGTGGATTTTTTTTGACTAAAATAATTATTAAAACTATAAAATTAGCGCACCATTTTTAGCGAATTTTTTAACCACACTAGGAAAATATATATTGCAATTTATCCTATTTATTTAATTTTTCATTCAAAAAAATGTAAATATTTGGCTCGGATTTGATTAGACCCGTCAACGGGGCAAAATTTAAGATGACCTCGTTTGATAAATGAGTTAGCATTCAGAAATTGTAATAAATTTTTTAAAAATATTTTTAAAAGTCCTTTAACAGCAATTCCACCTTCGAAAACATCACCCTGGAAGCCAGAGTATCTGGCAAGGACCACGAAGACAGTTTCGTACAGTTTTCCACGCCCAACCTGTCCATGTCCAACTCGACCCTCAACTCTACTCGAACCACGCAAAACAACAAAAATAATGATTCGTATCTCGCGGGCACGGGAGAAGGCTACGAGGAAGAACGGACAAGTTTAATTAACGCCTAAGATAAATTATTTCCTCCCATAATGTATTGTTTTTTTTTCGCCTTCAAAAAGTGCAATCAATGCTTAAATATATTTATCTCTTCTCCCTCCCATTAACTCTGTAACGGCTAGTTTTATTATAACATTTTCACAACCAACTTATAAAATTCCACGAATTATAGTGTGCGTTTATTTATATTGGATTTATTATATTTCATATTAATTTAAGCTCAAATGAAAGTGTTCTTACTCAAGATACTCCTTTAAACCAAATAAATCTCATAAAATATTCCTATTTTTTTTAATTAAAAAAAATCATTCCATTTTTAGCTATTATCCAATCCATATTTTTTTAAAAAAAATTTTTTCCAAATTATAATTTAAATGTGCAATATATATTTAACATACCTAATGTGTCAAAATAATATTCCCCTACTTAAGTCCAAAAATTTTGCCCGATATTAAGAATATTTTATATCTTTAAAAAAAAATTCCCAGTATTTTTAAGAAGCAATCATCAAAAATAAATACCTTATATAATCACAACAAAACGTGCAATGATAATTTTATTTATTATATTAGTTATTTTTTCTTTTTGAAAAATATTCTAAGTCAAAAGTCAAAAATAATAAAAAACAATTTTTGTTTTGTTTTATACAATAATAATTCTATTTTTAAAAAGAGTTTATTTTATATTACTTAAAAAGAAATGAATGATTTTCTAACTTTATATTAAATTATAAATGTTTATTATTTATATTTTTTATTTCAAAAAGAAATATATGATATTTTTGCACAAATTATATAATTCAAATATCACCCTTGTCAAACAAAATTAATTGTCGACTTAATTTTTAATTTTCGAAATCGTATATTTGTCAAATAATGTTTTTAAATTTTTTAAAATTTATCTTGCATACCAATCATAAACGCGAGTAAGGCTAATGAAAAATATTTAAAAAAAATTTTATTACATTATGTTACATTTTTTAATTTATTTTATAAATCGTCATCGTCGTGAGGATTGGAAAATAAAGTCGTATATTATCGCAGTTAGTGTGATATTTCTTTATGCCGCGTCTTATATCAATAATAAGAATGAATGTCATCAAATGTATCTGTCCAATATATATTTTACTAAAATTAGTAATCAATCTACTTAAAATAACATTAATTCACAAATTTGGGAGGAAATTCAGAATAACTAATTTCGTGAGATAGGATGGGGTGCTATTTAGGGTATTTCAAATTTTTGGCATCTTTAAGGGGAGGCGTTCCCTATAATTTTTTTTTATAATTTTTAACACGTCTTAGGTCAGTGCAGTGAACTCTAATACTTCATAGACTGACCATTCATTTAGTTAAATGTATATCAGTACAAATAAGATAGTGATCCAATTTAGTTTCTCACTTTATAAAAAAGATTATTATACTTGAAATCAAAATGGCGTGTCACCAGCTGATTTGTAATCAACGACGCTTCAAAATGCATCTTGACATGAATGCCATTGCTAGCAGTACAGTAGAAATCGTGGACAAAATTTAAAATATATCATCGAATATCACAATCATTTGTTTTTGGAACTGATTATGTCTATGGTGATCTTATGATTATTAAATTAGGATAAATGATCAACACAAGTTGATAAAATGTGACATAACCAAGGTGGAAGGAGGGGGTGGGGTTAATATTTCACAATTAGCAAATTTACCAGTCGTCGTAAAGATTACTAGCTAATAAAAAAAATTTGCCCTACACTCCCTACAAAAATTAGTATACAAGTCATTAGAAATAATATTTTGATGACTAGACTAGTTAAATTTTTTGACCCCCACACCTGTAGGAAAAACCTGGATACGATAATGATAAATCACGGATTAAATGGTTCGTATTAAATCTGCTATTATATTCTAAAACCTTTTTCTGCTTCAGAATTACTAATATAATTTATCTTAGCCATCTTTTTTTTCGTTTTGATTTCAGGAAGTTGATAGTTTAAGGATTCGATATTATTGTCTAAGTCGCTATAATCTTTTTTTTTGAGAGAACAAATATGTTCGCATTTATCGGTTATTAATAAATAAAAAATCAAATGCTTTCGCGTTCAAAATTCATTTACAGATGAACGCCTCCAAATTCGTAAACGTATTCATTCAGATCTATAAATATTTTATTTTTTAAATGCATTTAATATAAATAAGTGCCAAATAAAACAGTAATATAATATATATACAAAAAATTTTTGAATATTTATAATTCTTATCTCAAAAAATTTAATAAGGAATTGACAATTTTTTAAAGACAGAAAATTTTTTTTTTACAAGTGGCTGGCTCTAAGTGCTGTTCACAACAATTACGTTTGGAGCTGACAAATATTAGATCCAAAAACGGTTTTCACTCATTCTAAAATTTTTAACGAAAATTCCTTCTAAGTTAAATAAATTTGAATTATGAAATAAGAACGATATTGAATACTTTAGATACGAATTATTAATTTTTTTAAAATCTTACTAGCCATTCGTACTGTTGGTTAACATAAAACTAGTATGCATCTTATTAAATATTCACATTTAATAAATACCAGAGCCCCCTTAGTCGGCCATGCTGTTCACTCCCCATCGTGTGAAGGTGGGAGATGATTTTAGGGGAGCGTAGAATGAATAAAAGAAGGATGAAATAGAGGAGAGAAAGAAAGATATGAAAGAATTCTAAAAAAATATAGATAAAAGTAAAATTTTAATTGAGTAAAAATTTGGCTTTAAAGTAGAAATCATTCTCATAAATGGTTTTAATTTTATCAAATTTAATAATAACTTGGCTTTAACTTAAAGGTTAAGGTGAATCAAATAAAGAAATAAAAAAGTGCATCAAATCTCTAAGGATTAAAGTTTAAAATTTTAAATTCTAGAACCTATTCTTCAATTACTGAACAGTTTAAAGCAAATAACACAAGGATACGACACATATTGTTAAACACGAAAGTCAGGCAGTATTATATGTAATGGAGTAAATTTTAACAAAGTAACAAAATAATAAATAACTCAAAAAATAAACCAACGATGACACAACTCGAAACTTAGCTTAGGTAACTTAGCGTTCAATGCTACACAACATAGAGCAGCAATTTTTATTTTTAGCAAATTAACAAAATGCTAAGCAACTCAAAACACTAACTCATGTAAAAGCTAAAGCAATTCAAAGCTAACTATACATAGTTAAAACTTAATGTTAAGCATAACAAATATAAGAGCTATAACAAACTAAGCCTCACAAATCCAACAACTCAAAACTTAACCGCCTAAAAAAAAGAGTTCTGTTACAAGTAACTCAGTACTTATAGGAGCCAAGTTATGAATAAACAGGTGTACGCGCAACTAAGAGGAGGTTTATCAACTCAAATGCCAAAATAAAAATCCATGAATGAGCAGCGAAAAGCTAAATAATTTAAAACCAACTAAACACCAAGCAGCTAAAATTCCTTAAAGTATAGCAAAATAACAAAGAAGGTAAGACACAACTGCAATATGAAATTTAAAAGTATATTTGGCTAAGCAACTTAAGAAATAAACCCATGACAACACAACTCGAAATACCCTAACAAAAAAACTCAAAAATCAAAGCTAAAGAACATAGTATAACAAAATAAATTCTTTGAAAATAGTCAAAATTCTAAGCAAATCAAAATATTACCCCATATCAAAGCTACATGAAACTTAGCTTCCCACATAGCAACCTAGAGCTTAACAACTCAAAGCAAAGAATTTTCCTATAGGCAACTCAGAGCTAATTACCAAAACCCAAATAGACATAAACAAGTAACCAAAATCATGTAGTTCGAAGTTAATCAACTCAAATACCATAACCTACTATTTAATGACTGAGGAGCTAAATGAGAAACTTAAAGCTAATTACACAGAGCCAAGCAAGCCATTAAATGCCTAGAAGTATTGCAAAATAACAAAGCACAAGTAACATACAAATGCGAATATCAAATCTTGAAACATGTTTAGCTAAGCAACAAATATTAAGTGCAAATTAGCAAAGTATTAAACAATTTAAATATAAAACTATAAGATAGAAAGATTAATGTTAAACAAATCACACAGATCAGGCAACGTAAAACAATGTATCCGAGAAAAAAACTAGAAAATTGTTCTAATCTTAGTTTCACAAGGTTAGGCACCACAAACCTTAATTCAAAGTCAAGGGCTTCCATATACGCAACTCTAAACAGAATACCGGAGACTGATATGAACTGACCCGTTATGAGGATCCATGTTTAAGCATCAAAAATGTCAAAACCTTACCTCATTACCCTGCAGCTAAAGGACCAGCAACTCAACTCAAATCAAAGAAACATACCGTCTATTCTTGAAGCTTAGCTAGCCAGGGGCTTTCCAATATGCTACTTAAAGCCATGTATCATAGCCTTACATGAATAGATAAATAATGCAAAGTTGTGAGAATCGAAGTTAAGCAACTCAAATGTCTTAACTTTCCACCTCATTTCTCTGCAGCTACAATCTATGAGGCTAATAACTCCAGCCGAGACAGCATACTGTTAACCCCGCCAAAGATTAACCACCCAAATTCAAGACCTGACAATACGCTACTCAAAGCCATGTACCACAGCCTGACATTAATAGAGAAGTAACTCAAAGTGGTGAAGATGAAGTCAAGCAACTCAAATGCCTAAATTTTCCACCACATTTCTCTGCAGCTACAAGCTAAGAAACTAATAACTCCAGCTGAGACAGCATACTGTTGACCCTGTCAAAACTTAACCTCGACAAAGCTTAACTATTCAAACCCAAAGGCCTTACAATACGCTACTTAAAGGCATGTATCATACTGACATGAATAGACAAGTAATCTAAAGTCGTGAGAATCGAAATTATCAATAAAATTTCCAAATTCTACCTCATTTCTCAACAGCTAACATAAGAGTCTATTAACTCTAGTCGAGACATATACTGTTAAACTACTCATGTCTGAGGAGTATTGAAACATTAAAAATTCATAAGTAGCAAAATTCTAACTAACCCTTAATAAACCTGTGACATAACTTTTTAAAACTTAGCCTCAGAAAGCTAGGCAATTCAAAGCTTAACCACTCAAAGTCAATTGTTCTACTATAGGCAAATCATACCCAAGTACCATAGCTAGGATAGGAATAAAAAATCCAAAGTTGTGAGAATTTAAGTTTATAATTTCAAATGGCAAAATATGCCATCTCATTAATGTGTAAATTTAGAAAATCAAAGCTAATAACTAAGAGCCTCGT